ACTCTAATTGAACCCGAAAAAATAAAATTTTTTACCACTTCAACTTTTAATGGGATGAAAAATATACAAATTAATGACTCCATAAAACCAAAATCTTTAAATAAAACCTAACAAGAATGTCACTTTTTCCAATCCTATATATATAATGTCATAAGCTATATTTTTTTGGTGGGTAACGAACACAAGAACACATCAATGAGTGAAGAAATGGAGGGCGAGCTCAAGAATTTTATCAGGTTATGTGTTTTGACCATGGCATCTTTACTCTATTCTTACTTCATTGCAGCAAAGATCCCAAAGGGTTTTCAAGGCTCCTCTCCTTATTCCCTGTCATCACTCTCCTCTCTATCCTCTCTTTCAGCCACAGCACGTTGCATGCAGGTGTCCCGACGTCGTGTTTCCTTGCTTTCTTTGGCAACTTCAAGCTCCTCTTATTCGCCTTCGATCAAGGTCTTTTAGCATCATTACCTGAACAAGATGTTCTTTGTTTCTTCCTCGTCGCTTGTTTCCCATTCAAAATCAAACCAAAAACTACTACGACTGATCATAAAAATGACTCAAAATTTGTGCCGAATCCAATCTTAGAGGCTGCAATTAGAGCTACCCTTTTAACAATATTGCTTTATACTTATATTAACTATAAACATTACTTTCACAAACATGAAATATTGGTTTATGTTTTCTTCGTTTTCCATGAAGTACAACTTCTTCTAGCCTTGGGTGCAGTCCCTGGTCAAGTCCTTCCTGGAGTTGAACTGGAGTCGCAGTTCAATTCACCATGCTTTCAACTTCGCTACAAGATTTTGGGGCAATAGGTGGAACCTGAGGGCCTCAGATCTTCTACAAGCAACCGTATACAACCCTATACGTAATAGTAGTATTTTTATACGTATAATATATTGGAGATGGATGGGCTTCATTGCCAGCAGTGTTGATGACATATGTCATCTCGGGTTTGATGCACGAATTGTTTTATAATCATATGAGTCGTGCAAATCCTACATGGGAAGTTACTTGATTTTTTGTCTTGCGAGGAGTTTTTGTAGATATGGAGATAATATTGAAGAAAAAATTGGTGGCCGCCAACAAATTTCGACTTCACAGAACAATTTCAGGACCATTGGCTTTGGCAAATATAGTGACTGCTACGTGGCTTCCTTGTACACAAGCTAGGAGATTTTGTATAGATGAAAAGCTGATTAATGAATTCAATTTTTTTTTTCTGGGTTTCATGATGGGTAAGGCATAATATGAACAAGCTAGTGATTCGCTCATTAAACCTGTTTGCTATTAGCTTTTTTTCTTCATCATATATACGTGTCCCAAACAAAATATTAAAAAAAAAAAACGAAGGGTTGGAGCTGTAATATATAATTAGAGGTGAGAAAAAAATTAAAAAAATTGAAAATTGGTTCGAAATTATAATATTTGATTCGGTTTGTATTAATTGTTTTATTTAATTTGAATTAAGATTTGATATTAAATATATATATTAAGTTTTGAATCGAGATGTGAAAAATTAAAAAAATTAAACTGAATCGAATTATATATATTTTTAAATTTTTATAAAAAATAATTATTTTAAATATAAATTTATTTAAATATATTAAAAATCTAATTAAAATAATATATAAAAATTTAAAGTTTAAAATTTAAAAACCGATGAACCGAACCGTAGAATTTTATTTGAATCGAATCGATTTTAAAAAAAAATTAATTCGAGTTCGGATTGAATTTTAAAAATTGATAATACTATACATTATCTAAAAAATAAAATTAAATCTGATCCAATCCAAAATTCTATCAACTCAATATATAATATATGCTTATAATTTTACCATAGTTCCTATTCGATAACAGAATTATTAAATAAAAAGTATGTATTGTCTTATTAATTCATAAGTCTAATTAAAAATTTTATGATAAAAAAATCTTTTTTTTATATCTCATTACCTGTTTTAATAATATTTAGCAGTAATTTTTCTTAAAGATAATGAATTAAAATATTATGGTGGACGGATTGGTATTGCTGAGATACTTATATGTTCTGAATCTTATTAAAAGAAATTAATAAAAAAAAGAAAGAAAAGGAGATTTATTAATTTATATATACTAAATTATTTACTTGAACAAAAGATAATAACATCATCATATTGTAATCCCAAATCACCATTGTGAAACATGCCGTTTTCCAGCTGTTTGAAAAATCAATGATTTTAAAGTATACACGTTGTTAAGTTGCTTGACAGACATTATACTTAAGGTTTACAACAAGGTAATAACAATAGGCCTTTGACTTGACTTTTGTTTTCTTTTAATTATCCAAAAAAAAAAAAAAAAAAAACCCAAAATAGATTTGTCCTTGCGTCATGCTTTTGTGCTAATGATGTCATTAGATTTTCAATCTAAGACTAAATGGACCCACCAATTCCACCGAATCCACTGGTCACCATGCCTCGGTCATGAACTATCATGAGCTTAACTTTCATGGTTAATCATGATCATGCAATTAATTTAACATTTAATAGCCATTAATTAGATGGATTTTGGTTGTATTTTAGGTCATGTGCCCTTGATAGATAATCAAAGATTTAACAAACAAGGAACCCTTTCTTTCCTTCTAGGAAGCATATGTTATCAGTCGTTTTCAATTTCTATTGCATAAATTGCATCAATTTGTTAAAAAAACGCGTATCTTTATCATTAAGGATCAATCAAAATTTCATCGATTTTTAATTCTTATATCATAATTAATATCTCACGACGTTGATTGTGATTCAAATTGACGTAAATAATAGTTTGATTGAAAAACAAGCTAGACTAAAAACCCTATGATCAAGTGATTGTGGGGTGTACATGTGGGAGAAAATTTTGACAATACCCCGAATGAAAACTTATTTCTTTGCTTTAGATTTTTGGTCCCAAAAGAGTGAAGAAGGGCATGGGAAGTTTCCTATTTTCTCATTAAACTTGGTCTTAATGCAAATTTGTCGTTGGCTCATCTGAATTATTGGCCTTCGGAAGATTTTTCAGCTCCTTTTATGCCACACAAAAGCAGTTGATGATGAATATTGATGTGATTAGCTTGATATTTTGGCTAGCTAACTATCATATTCTCCCACATCCGCAATCTACGTTCATTAAAACAAATACAATCAAAATGTTTCCAAAATGTTTTGATATAATTGAAGATAAATTATTAAAACAATGTAAGAAGTTAATTTCTCATAAATTCTTTAAATTTTACATGAATATACTTGTTTAACTAACCTAGGAAAAAAATATACGAAACAAAATTTAGGAATTCTCCAAAAAATAATATAATTTTTTTAAAAAGTAAATAGATCTTATTATTTTGGTAATACAATTAGAATATATAAGTATATATATATATATATATTAAAATTTTAGAAGAGAAAGATTACAATATGAATGTGTGCATATAATTAAAATTTTGAAATTAATTTTCTTTTCTTGTAGGGAATAGGTTGTCTTCATCATATGTAGAGGTCATAAGACTATTGCTTATAATCAAACAAAATTACAAATATTCTATTTATAGTAAAAAAATAATAATTATTGTGTGTTGCAAGTTGTTGTAATAAACCTTGAAGCTTGACAAGGACAATTTTACACTTTAAACATTGAAATGAGGAAGAAAGGGGATTAATAATGAGCACACTTGTTTCTTTTTTTATACAGCTAGCATGACAAAAGTCTTGTTTGTATTCAAATTGAATCACATGATGAACTCAATATTAAGATTAAAAAAAAAAAAAACCCATTATTTTTTTTTTGAGACTAATGCAAATATTTTTATTAAAATAACAAAAAAAATGTTTGGTCCAGTTTGAAAGGATGTATATTAAGTTGAGAATAACTCATATAAAAAATTTTCTCCTTCTTTTCATTTATTTATTTATCTTTTTAATTTCAATAGAGAATGTAAAGATTTCATCCTATAAAATTTTTTGTCGATATTTGTGTGATTTGATTATATAATATTGAATTTTTTTATTTTAATAATTAAAATTCAATTTTTAATAACTTTAAATACTAAAAAGATCATAGAAATTATACAAATTGAATTTTTTTTATGTAATTTAAATCAGAGTAATGTTGTTTATCTCATCAATTTTATTTTAAAGTTTTTGTATTTCTTGACATGATATATAATTATTGCATAAATTTAAAAAATGGGAGCTACAAATTTATTGTAAAGTGAACTAATTCATAAATGAGATATTATAATCAAACCAATAGTTACATATCATATAAGGAAGTATAAATATTTAAGATAAAAGTGGTGAGATAAATTAAAATTTTTTTAAAAAATCCAATATACCAAAAAAATCCTAATAAAATGCTTCACAAAGTTAAAGGGTATCAAAATTTGAAAAGCTAAAAAATGACAAAATAATTGGGGCCAACTTATTCTTTTTGGTTAAATTTGATAATCTAAATATAATATAGTGATATGATATGATATGAATATAATATGAAAATAAAATATGAAAGTTACATGATTTAAAATTTTAACAATAATTATATATAAACTTAATAAAAAAAATATTTTATATTTTTGTATTTATATAAATTATGACATATAATTTTTATATAAAATATAATATAAATATATAAAATTTAATATTTTATAGATCATTATATGTACTTCTAAGAGGGGGAATAAGGTAAAGAAACAAAACTTGCCCAATACCTATGCTTTAAAAAACCAATATGGAATAGAATATGCTCCCATCATATTGGTGGACCAATAATCATGCTTTAAACTTTTAAATTGTCCACCAAAATAAATGGACCCCCACTCCCCCAGCATCTGGAGTCGACATGGGTCAAGAAATAACATCAAATGGACACCAATTTGACACGTGTCAATCAAATGGATGTGATCAAAATTTCTTCATCCCACATCATAGCAACGTATTACTGACGTTTTTCGAAACACATCCCTTCAACTTAAGGAAACTCCCATGTGGGTCTTATTTGGCCGCCAACACTCCCCATTTGACCTTCCAAAATATTTCCATTTTAACAACTTTTTTTTTCTCTTTATATATTCATTCAAATTCTTGAGCTTTCTTCACAAACTTGTAACAAAGATAATTGTAGTTTGAAACTGAAAACAGACAGACAGAATGCTTGAGAAAGAGAATTGTTGTGTTGGTTTGAATGAGCCAAAATTGGTGGTGAGGAAGTTTTTGGCTAGGCCACAACATGAAGGAGTTGGAGCAATAGTAAGAAGAAGCATAGGCAGGTAAGTCGAGAAAATATGATGAGGGTGTTTTTTTCATTGAAATGAATGAAGTTTTGATGAATTTGAGGTGTTTAGATTAAACGGTGTCTCTGTTTTTGCAGATTTGAGTTGAGATACTTTGATCCTTTCCTTGTTCTGGATGAATTTTCAGGCATGGTGTCTCTGTTTTTGCTCTGTTTCCTGGAGGGTTTTTTTTTTTTTTTTTTTTCATTTCTGATAACATTTTGATTTTGGATATTGCAGTTACAGCACCTGCTGGATTTCCTGATCATCCGCACAGAGGTTTGATTCTTTTGCTCATGTTCGATTTTCGGACTCTGTTTATGCAGATGCAAAAAATATTTTTTCTTATCCTCTCTGTTTTTTATTAACAGGATTTGAGACGGTCACCTACATGCTACAGGTACAGAAATGATCATCCAAGGAATAAATTTTTCATGTCAAAAATTTTCCAAATTTATTATTTTTTTAATCAAGAACTTGGAAAACTAGTATAGTCATCTGTCTCTTGATTTTTTTTTCCTTGAAAATAAATAAAAAATTTTATGTTTATGTACATTTACAAGCTATTCCCAAGTTTTGTCTGGATTGCTTTATTTGTTTGTATTTGTTGAGGTGTGGACATTTTTGATGCGGTTTTGAAGTTATAAACTTACCTTGGCTGCATGCAATTGGTTGATACATTAGGGGGCAGTTACACATGAAGACTTTGATGGGCATAAGGGGACTATTGGACCTGGTGATGTACAATGGATGACTGCAGGAAGAGGTATTGTCCACTCGGAGATGCCTGCAGCACAAGGAACCCAAAAGGGTTTACAGCTATGGATCAATCTCTCCTCCAAGAATAAAATGTAAGTTCAATTCACAGATATAATCAGACTAAGTATGACTAAAATGATTTGCCATTATTGATCTTTCTTGAAAGTGGTTTACACATTGAATTACCTTTGTATGTGCATATCTTGCTCGATATTGTCAGCTTTGAAGAAGGAATCTTTAATGATGAATTGGGTTAATGCTTGTTCCACTAACTGGACATACTGTCAAAAGTTCTCGGTAACTTTACAACCCTTTCATGGCCTCATTTGTTTAATCTTTTATGTTCAGGATTGAACCAAGGTACCAAGAAATATCAAGTAAGGACATTGGAGAAGCAACAAAGGATGGAATCAAGGTTAGAGTTATAGCTGGTGAGGCCTTGGGAACAAAGTCTCCAATCTATACTAGAACCCCAACAATGTACCTGGATTTTACCCTGGAACCTGGGGCTCACCTACAACAGCCGATACCGGAATCATGGAATGCCTTTGTTTATGTCTTGGAAGGAGAGGGTATCTTTGGCAGGTCGAAATCTTCTCCGGTGAATGCTCACCATCTGCTTCTGCTAGGACCTGGGGATGGTTTAGAGGCATGGAACAAGTCCTCTAAGTTGCTAAGGTTTATTCTAGTTGGAGGTGAACCATTGTGTGAACCTTTGGTGCAATTTGGACCTTTTGTGATGAACACGCAAGAAGAGATTGATCAAACAATCGATGATTTCGAGAACTACACCAATGGATTTGAGAAAGCAAGGCACTGGAGATCTGAATCTGGTCTTACCCTGGATTTCTGATTCTTGTTTTGTCTATGGAAAAAGAAAAAAAAAAGGTCATTGATATTTTAATAATCAAAATATGTACATTAGATATTATGGTTAGTCAAGTAAGTTTCACTAATTTGTTCAATTTTATGCACCTTTTTATCATGCTACATCCAATAGTCTTGATTACCACTAGGAAAAGAATAAAAACTGAAGCAAGTGATAAAAATGTCAATGATCATTCAATCGATAATGATCAGAGTTTAATTTTTGATAATTTTTTTATTAGAAAAATCAAATAAAATATTTGTTTAATGGGATTTAACTTGTGATTTTCCATAATTTACCTTTTCTTAAGATCAATGAAAGAAGCTGAGAAAAATGGGGGAGATTTCCATCAGATTTCAAGCCAGGCCCGGCTGTAATTGGTAGTCAAACAAGGGCAGCTTTGGTAGTCAAGAACTTGGCCACCAATATAAAACCTAAGTGACCTTTATTCAAACACTAATAACAATAAGAAACATCAAATTGAAGATATCCTTAATTTCATGAACTGATTCTTGTAAGAACATAATTTTAGGATTCTGAAAAAGTCAAAATGCAGAAAGAATTATTTTTATTCTACCTCTAATTTTTAATCATAAATAAAGAAAAACAAACTAAAATTTAATAAAATTGATTTATAACACGTTTTGAATTCAAAAATTAACAACTCTCTAAAGAAATTGTTGTTGAAGTAATGAAATTATTGGTTAAGATAAGATTTGGAATTTGATTTTAACCAGCTAGGTTTTTGCCTTATAAAAGGGGTAAGAAAATTTGGGGTTGAATTTTGAAGGCAAAAAAAGATATTTAAATGATTATTTTACAAAATTAGGCAGGCTTTGGACAAAGAACAGTTAAAGGCTAGTAAATTTTTAGGCAGGCTATTGTCTATTTCATTTTTAATTGACAATTGTGATGTAATTTTTATTCTGTATACATCGATTAATTTGAAATTATGTACATTATTTTTACTTTAAAGTCTTTGTTTATCATTACGAAAATATTTAATTTAATAATCGAGACATTATTTTTACTTAAAAATTTTTTACTTTTTGAGCTAATGGTAAAAAAAGCTTTAAGAAAAATATTAAAATTTGAGTTTAAATCACGCGTCTCTCTTCCTCTTTCTATATAATAAGACGTTGTTTTTTTTTAAATTAAAAAAAAAAGAAACATAATTTTTTATTTGAATCAAATCTTTTTAATCGAACGTTAATTTTATTGAAATTCATCTTCTAAAAATATGTAAAAATATCAAAAAATCATTTGAATTAAGTTCAATATTTAAATGAATTTATTGATTTGGGAAAGTATTTGAAAAAAAAAAAAAAAAAACCCTTTTGTTAGGGATTGAGAGATTAATAAGGAAGGGAAAAATAAGGAAGATTTGAAGAAATAATTTTAATAAATAAATTATTTACCCAAAAAAATTCAAATTCATAACTAAATGCATATATAAATTAACTAATTAATTAATTTAGTATGCTCGCGAAAATCTTTTCTATTCAAATCCTACCATAAATATTTAACTTAAAATTGAATTCAAATAATTTATTTAAAAAAAAAAAAACTCTAACACAAATTAAAACTCTCTTTCGTCCATTCTTGTTAAAAGATAAATAAATAATATTCAAAACTTTTTACTTTAAATAATAATAATAATAATAATAAATATATATAATTTGTTCAATTTTATGCACCTTTTTATCATGCTACATCCAATAGTCTTGATTACCACTAGGAAAAGAATAAAAACTGAAGCAAGTGATAAAAATGTCAATGATCATTCAATCGATAATGATCAGAGTTTAATTTTTGATAATTTTTTTATTAGAAAATCAAATAAAATATTTGTTTAATGGGATTTAACTTGTGATTTTCCATAATTTACCTTTTCTTAAGATCAATGAAAGAAGCTGAGAAAAATGGGGGAGATTCCATCAGATTTCAAGCCAGGCCCGGCTGTAATTGGTAGTCAAACAAGGGCAGCTTTGGTAGTCAAGAACTTGGCCACCAATATAAAACCTAAGTGACCTTTATTCAAACACTAATAACAATAAGAAACATCAAATTGAAGATATCCTTAATTTCATGAACTGATTCTTGTAAGAACATAATTTTAGGATTCTGAAAAAGTCAAAATGCAGAAAGAATTATTTTTATTCTACCTCTAATTTTTAATCATAAATAAAGAAAAACAAACTAAAATTTAATAAAATTGATTTATAACACGTTTTGAATTCAAAAATTAACAACTCTCTAAAGAAATTGTTGTTGAAGTAATGAAATTATTGGTTAAGATAAGATTTGGAATTTGATTTTAACCAGCTAGGTTTTTGCCTTATAAAAGGGGTAAGAAAATTTGGGGTTGAATTTTGAAGGCAAAAAAAGATATTTAAATGATTATTTTACAAAATTAGGCAGGCTTTGGACAAAGAACAGTTAAAGGCTAGTAAATTTTTAGGCAGGCTATTGTCTATTTCATTTTTAATTGACAATTGTCATGTAATTTTTATTCTGTATACATCGATTAATTTGAAATTATGTACATTATTTTTACTTTAAAGTCTTTGTTTATCATTACGAAAATATTGAATTTAATAATCGAGACATTATTTTTACTTAAAATTTTTTTACTTTTTGAGCTAATGGTAAAAAAACCTTTAAGAAAAATATTAAAATTTGAGTTCGAATCATGTGTCTCTCTTCCTCTTTCTATATAATAAGACGTTATTTTTTTTTTAAATTAAAAAAAAAGAAACATAATTTTTATTTGAATCAAATCCTTTTAATCGAACGTCAATTTTATTGAAATTCATCTTCTAAAAGTATGTAAAAATATCAAAAAATTATTTGAATTAAGTTCAATATTTAAATGAATTTATTGATTTGGGAAAGTATTTGACAAAAAAAAAAAAAACCCTTTTGTTAGGGATTGAGAGATTAATAAGGAAGGGAAAAATAAGGAAGATTTGAAGAAATAATTTTAATAAATAAATTATTTACCCAAAAAAAATTCAAATTCATAACTAAATGCATATCTAAATTAACTAATTAATTAATTTAGTATGCTCACGAAAATCTTTTCTATTCAAATCCTACCATAAAAATTTAACTTAAAATTGAATTCAAATAATTTATTTCAAATAAAAAAAAACTTTAATACAAATTAAAACTCTCTTTCGTCCATTCTTGTTAAAAGATAAATAAATAATATTCAAAACTTTTTACTTTAAATAATAATAATAAAATATATAAAAAATTTTAAATTTTAAATTAAAAAAATTATTAAATCAAATAAAATCGATAAAATTTTATTCGAATTTGAATTTTAAAAATTTAGAATTATATGTTATCACCCTAATAACGGGAATATTGATTTTTTTTTCCTAATTTTGTATTTTGTTTGGTAAAAAGAAAAATTAAGAATATATTCAAAAGACAAAAGTTAAGGTAACAAAGACTACAGCTCATTTCCACACTTTAACTTTGTAACAGAAACAACCGAAACTTCACGGAAGAACACAGAAAACGTAAACTCAGACTCAACTCTCTCAGCTGTTTTTTTTCGTCAAACCAAGTCGTAAAAAAAAAACCCAAAATCTTTAAATCTCAGAACCCAAAAAATTAAAAAAAAAAGAAAGAAGAAAAAACAGACACTCATGAACAAGAAACATTCAACTCTTCTCAAGATTCTCTTAGCTCTCTTTGCTTTAAACTCCATCTCTCTTTACCTTTACTTCTCCGCCAGCAACCACAGCAACCATCAGCATTTGGTGGAGAACCACCGTGATACGACGGAGGAGAGCTTTCCCGGAATTATCCCACGTCGTGGACCTCATTTATCGAAGCCCTGGCCAATCATCCCATCATATCTGCCCTGGTCTTTGACCCCGAACGTAGTTTTAAAGTCTTGTGAAGCTTATTTTGGAAATGGGTTTACTAGGGTAGCTGATATTTTGTCAGCAAAAGCCGCTGTGAGATCCGGGTCAAGTTGGTTTAGGTGTCATTACTCTGGGACTTTGAGGAGTTCAATTTGTGAAGGTGGGAAGGTAAGGATGGATCCCGAGAAGATTAAGATGTCGAGAGGAGGTGAAAAGTTAGAGGATGTTATTGGGAGAAAGGAAGAAGAAGAGTTGCCTGAGTTTGAAGATGGAGCTTTTGAGGTTCAAGGTGAAGGAGGAGCAATGTTAAAGAAGAAAAAGCTTGTTGGGGAGGAGTTTTTGGATGAGTTTTTACCTGTTGGGAATGTTTTTAGACATACTATGAGGGAATTGATTAGGTCTGTTGTTGTTGTTGGTGAAAATGACTTCACTTGTCAAGAGGTTAGATTAGATTTCTGAATTTTCTTTTCAGAGTTTTGATTTCTGTTCATTGATCTTGATTTTTGATGGAATTGCTAATTCTGGGTAATGTTTGATTTAAATTGATGTTAATGATAGTAATAATGATGGTTTGCTAAATTTCTGATTAGTTGGAAGTAATGCTTAATGCAGATATGGATTATAATTTAATGCATTTCTATATGTCAAACAGATGTTTAGGCTAATCTGTTTGTCTATAGTTGAGGGAAAATTAGCCTGTCTTTGCCGGATTAGTTATTTTAATAGGTCTGATAGTTGTTTTTTAGATAGTTGATTTCTGGATTAATAGGCAGTGGCACTTTGATGTTGTTGACTGATACTGGACTCTGAGTTCTCTGGCCGATGTAAATCATTAATTTCCAGATTACAATGAATTGAATTCCTCTTCTAATTCAATTCAATTTGTTGATTGTTAGTTCTGCTTTCATGGATTCTGACTTGGAAAGCTCTGATTACAGTGGGTAGAGGAGCCTACACTTCTGGTAACAAGATATGAGTATGCAAACCTTTTCCACACTGAGACGGATTGGTACAGTGCATATGTGTCTTCTAGGGTAACTGGCTTGCCTAATCGGCCGCATTTGGTCTTTGTGGATGGTCATTGTGAGGTATGCATGCTCAGTATTCCATATTCAGTTTCTAATGTCATCTTTGTTCTCTTTAGCATATTATCATTCCTTTTCTACCATGTTATCGGTTCTTAATGTACAAGAATTAATGAGAAAAATATTAATGTTTTGAGCCAGGGAAAGGTTTCTTTTCTTGCCAGAATGGAGTGAGGAAGAGGGTTTGTAGATAGGAATTGGGAGGAATGCTAGGTTAGTGAATTATGAACCAAGAAGAGAATTATATTACCTATTTAAATCATTCCTGCACTCGTATACTTGACTGTAATTTTGCTCGAGGTTTAATTTCTCGCCTTCCCAATGCACCGTTCTATAAGTTCTGCAATCATTCCCACAAACTGGAAAAACATGTGATATAGATATGATTCTGTTAAAATTCTTCAAGTTGGATACATTTAAGCTTGATTTGAGTTTATACTGCTTGTCTACTAAAACAACAAACTAAGTCTTATAACCCATAACTCTGGGATCGGATATTGCTTGCCTACTAAATCCTTTATTATCCCACAATAGCTGATTTTTCTTTTTTTCTTGGCTGAATTTTTCCAGACACAATTAGAAGAAACATGGAAAGCATTGTTTTCAAGCCTTAGATATGCTAAAAACTTTAGTGGTCCAGTCTGTTTCCGCCATGCTATTTTCTCGCCTTTGGGATATGAGACTCCATTATTTAAAGGGCTTACTGAGAAAATAAATTGTCATGGAGCTTCTGCACATGATCTATGGCAAAGCCCTGATGACCAAAAAACGGCTCGATTATCTGAGTTTGGAGAAATGATCGGAGCTGCTTTTGGGTTGCCGGTAAACAGACATCATGCTGATAAGGCAGCCTCAGTTCATAATGTTCTCTTTGTTCGTCGTGAAGATTATTTAGCCCATCCACGCCATAAAGGTAAGGTTGAATCGAGACTTAGCAATGAACAAGAAATATTTGATTCATTACAGGGGTGGGCATCTAATCATCTGGAATGCAAAGTAAACCTCATCAATGGGTTGTTTGCACACATGTCCATGAAGGAACAGGTCCGAGCCATTCAGGATGCTTCAGTTATCATTGGTGCTCATGGTGCTGGTCTCACGCACATAGTATCTGCAATACCAAACACAGTGATTCTCGAGATTATTAGCAGCTTTTTCAGGCGGCCACACTTTCAATTGATTGCTCAGTGGAAAGGATTGGAATATCATGCCATTAACCTTGATGGGTCACATGCCAATCCTGGAGTTGTCATTGATAGGCTTAACAAGATAATGAGGAGTCTTGGATGCTAAAAAAGTTTTGGTTCTAACGGAAATTTCAAGTAACCTTATCTGAGCTTGGAACCATAAATTTCCAGATTTTCATCTGGCACTTACTGAAGAAACATAGAGAAGAATCTTTACACTTTACAGGATTTTGGTTCCTTTGAAGAGATTGATTCATAGCTAACAGAACGAAATCTGCTATACCAACAACGATAAAGGAGACGACAAAGTCATTCTGGTTGGTGATGGATATAGGCATTATTCATTCATTCATTCAAAGATACAAAATTTTGGGTCTGATATGTTGTCGTCATTAAATGTAAGCTTACAGGTTTAAGTTCAATTTTTTTCTTTGAAACATTTTCTGGGCACATTATTATTTTCTTTCCTCATCTTACTCGAATGTGAGATGGGTTTTTTTAGATGATTGTATGTTGTATTCAATGATAACAAGTGTATCTTGCGATGAATTGACGATTAACATTGTCAAATGAAAGTGATATACAAGAGTGCTTTTTGGATTGGCTGGTGTAACCTTGGCGTCAGCTATGGCACTAGCTGGGGTAACCCTGGCACCTTTGTATCTTGGAACCACTACTTACCGGGCAAGATATAACAATTTTCTTTGTCCGTTTGGTTTGATCATGGATTTGGGATTTACAATCATAAATATGATAACCTCTATTTGAACAAATCTGAAACCTTTTTGATTCAAAATTTTATTCCATCTGGCAGAAATCATAGATTTTTTTTGAACTATTGTTCATAATACCACAAGCTAGACGACTAAGCCAAAGGACTCGAGCATGGTGACCTGGGAGAAGTAATTTTATTTCATGAAGCTTCGAGTAAAGTGTACAATTTATAGATTCAAACCACAGGTATTTGAAAGATCCCACTCATGCCACCAATTTGAGCAAAAGGATGATCCTTGAACTTCAATTGCAGGGGTCATGCATGCCAAGAGCAAATTAATCAGATTTAACTCCATTATGTCCCAGCCCTTACCACAATAATTCCGTTCCCAACAATTTTATCTAGATGTTGATCGTTGGAACATACATAATCTGAAAAATACCAACTAAAATAGGCTGCATTTATAAAGTGCAAGATCAACTAACTTCCAAGTACAAAAATAACATGCAACTGAAGGTATATAATAATACTGTTGAATAGGACACAACCCACCACTTGACATTCAAACTAAAAGTTCAACACTAACACAATCTTAAATGTTCTGAAAAGGTGAAAGTAAGGCAAAAAAGGACATTCTGATCTGAAAGATGAAATCTCAAGTAGCAAAATTTTAGGCAGCTCCCTTCCCCTTCTTTCTCTGAATCTTCTTCATGTAGAACTCCAGCTCTTTGCCCTCCAAGATATACCTGTCAAACCCATTTGACATCATATTCGAATGAGAATGATAGTAGTTAGTAAGAATAAGCAAATATTTGTCCTGCTTATCATCAAAAAGTTTAGTGAACAGTAGTGCTATTATCTAGCCTAATTATTAGCTGTCCAAAAATGATTCCTTTTCTTGCAAAACAAATTTAGATGCCTTGGAGAAAGAAAAGAGAGGTTGAGTCTTCTATACAAAACATACCCATCAGCACGGCCACATTGACCAGGCCGTGAAGAGATGGAAGCCAACAAACGCCCACTACCAAATTGCTCCTCAATATGTGGGTCAAGCTTCCGATTCTGCTGACGCTTCTCCAGCTTCCTCAAGACATGGTTGCTCTTCTTCACCTCCTCAGTAGCAGTTTCACCTTCCTATACACAAATTAAGTGAAACAATGTAATACTGAAAACTGCAATACCCTCAGTCAAAGATGAAAGGAAAAAAACCACTGACACATCTTTATGCTTAACCTGAAGTCTTGCCTACAATATAACCTGGATTGCTACATAATTTATATTTCTAGGGACCCTAGTTGGAGAAGGTGCAGAAACCAAACTGATATTCATATGCTAACATGATAGGAATATCCTCTCATATGCACAGACAATTTAATAGCCAGAGTAAAATCAGGCAAGACAAGTAGAACAGCGCAAAGACAACAATAGTCACTTGCAGTAAAAGGAGAAAGAGAAAAATAAAAATCAGCTACCCACTAAACAAAATAAAGACATCATTCCATCCTATGTAAAACAGATTTATGCTAATGTGGACCATATCAAGATTCAATTTCCATATGACACCAAAACATTAAAAAAGAACATAAACCACAATGACTACCACATCTTTTAAAATGATTAACTCATCAACATAGGAAGTGATCCATCGAAACAGTATCAATGTGACCAAAACATAAAAAACCATCCCCCTACCTCTCCTTCTTTCTTGGCTGCTGCTGTTTTCTTCTTGCGACCAATGTCAACACCATAGTGCTGTAGATACCACTGCTTGAACGGAGCAGCATCAACTTGAACAATAGCACTCTTCACCAGAGTTTGAGTACGAACCAGCTCATTGTTGGAAGCATTGTACACCACATCCAAAATTCTGGTCTTACGAGTCACAGCCTCACTTCCCCATGAGTAGTTTCCAGTGTCGAGCCTCAAAGCACGCCACTTAACGTTTCCACCGCGAACCCTAATCCTCCTGACTGTCTTGTTGCTTGACAGCTTTGTGTTTGCAGGTTGCCTTCCAAGCTCATACCTTCAAACATAAACCACCAAATTTAGAAAACTAGATAAACTAAGATTGAAAACATCAAGTGAAACAACTCAATAATAAAGGAAACTAGACAAGATCTCTGGCATCTAAACAAACTAGAAAGGATCAACTTTTACACACCTAAACAAACAAATCCCAATAAATCTCAATAAAAATGCTCCAAAATTTTCATATGACAATAAAATGAAGCTAAATCTAAAACTAAAGGCTGAAACTAGAATCTTAGTTCAAGTAAATTACAAGAACAAAAAACCCATTTTTAAATAATTCTAAGTCAATTTTGTTTAAAAAAAAAAGGGCAAAAAAAAGATCAAGAAAAATAAAAAATAAGGAAAAAAAGGGTTTTGCAGATTACTTTCTCTTCTTCCTCCAAGCCTTCTTTTTGCCACCAGTGGCACGCCTCTTGTGCATTGAATCACGAGAAATACCTATAAAAAAAAAAGAAATTACACTCATTCGGCAATAAAATTAAGAACACAATTAAATGCTTTAGAAGAGATTAATAAAAAAAAAATTAGAGGAATTTGAGAAATACCCATTTTGGCTGAGGGAAAAGTTCAAGCCTTTTGGTGTTCTTTTTTTGTGTTGAAGCAAATCCCAGAAAAGAAATAAGCAAGGCTTTGAGAGGAAGTGACAGGCGGAGATTTGAAGCTTGGTTATACACAAAACCCTAGCTTTTGTGAAATTACTTTTATCTCCTCATTGGAATTTGGGCTGGATTTATATTAGGTAGGGTAAAGTAGTCAATGGGAGATTTTGCTTTTGGCCCAATAACATGTTTGGTTCATGCTTTGCTTATATTATAACGTTTGTATTTTTGTAGAAACTAAAATATTGTCCAAGTAGGTTGGAAATAACTAGAGAACCCAATTTTGCTCAACAATGCCAACAAGCAAAGCAAATTGGGACCAAATTATTCTTTATCTTTCCAAAGCTCCCTCACAACTTGCAAATCTTAAGACAACAAGTATTCATCCACTCCTTTTTTTGTTGTTATAACTTATAACCCATTTCCTTGAATCAATCAGTGTGTGCAAAAAACCTGTCTTTGATACATTTGGAGGGTGTTGTAATGGGGTTTGTAGTTTTGGGTTCATCGAGTTCTTACGTTTCAGTGAGAGATTTCCATCACTGGAATGTCAGGTCTCAATCTTTCAGTTTGAAAGAGAGGTATGGTGTTGGCTTCAAGTTGGTTAACAATTTCAAGGCTTATAAACTGGGAAGAGTTTCACTTTGCAAGAGTGAATTTATTGACTGTGAAGTAAGAACAAGCCCCAATGAGGTAATTCCAATCTTCAGTTCTCCTCAAACTTTCGGTCTCTTTTGGGATTCACTTCTGATTCTTAATAACAATTCATTTTTTTTCGTAGATTTATCTGTCATGTTATAGCCTGGAGAATGCTGATTGTATTGAATAGATTTTGATTTGAATAGTGCTTTATAGAATTATACTTGATTTTATATTAATCTAGAAAAATCTCTGAGCAAAGATCTATGTTGGGTATATTTTGGCTTTTCTCTTCTTTTGATAGTTAGGAAATTTGAACATGCTTAGCTGATACACTATCCTGAGTGTGGAATGCCATCAATTCTTGTTGGCCCAAGGTCATGGCAAATCTCTTGGAGATACAACTTTAATTGCTGCCATTTTTTGCATGGATGTTTGATTTCAATTAAGCTTATGGATGTCATGTTCTGGTGCTGGTTATATATTTTTTTGGGATTTATTGGCATTTCGCAGGTTTTCTGTGAACTGAGAAGCTTATTTGCTAATTTTGTTTTCCCATTTGAAAGGTCAGAAAAGAGATAGAACAATGCTATGAACTCATACACAGACTTGGGAGGGGAGTTGTGTACTTGGGTTCTTCGAGGATGGGACCTGGCCATCGTCATTACTCACTAACAATGGAGCTGGGTAGAGAGGCAAGTTAATTTATAGAGCATCATTTCTCTTTAAATAGTTTTAGCTAACATAAGTTTACTTTGGAACAATTTTCCCAATGCTTAGGATTTTCTTCATTTTAGTTCTTTTCTCCCCGTCCTTTTAATGAGTTCAATTTTCCTGCTTAGCAGATAGCAAACCTTTTGGACTGTACCACATGGACAGGAGCTGGTCCTGGCCTCATGGATGCTGCTATTAAGGGTGCTCTGCAAGCAGGAAAGCCTGTTGGTGGGTTTAAGATAGGTAGGGAAGCTGGAGAATGGACTACCTCAAATTTTCATCCATACCTGCCTTCAGAAACTTATCTTACATGCAGGTGAACATTTCCGTTTCTAAAGGTTTACCAACACCATTTTAAATCTATGCATTTGAATGATTTTTAAGATGAACTGCAGGTTTTTCTCTGCTAGAAAGCATGGGTTGGTTGATGCTGCAGTTCGGAGTTCTAACTCTGATAAGACAGCCGTAGTTGCTCTTCCAGGTGGTGTTGGTACCGTTGATGAGATGTTTGAGATATTGGCATTGATTCAGCTTGAAAGGATTGGATCAGAGCTTCCGGTTCCCTTCATCTTAATGAACTATGACGCATTTTACGCAAAGCTGTTAGACTTTCTTGACGAATGTGAGGAATGGGGTACTGTCTCCAAGGGAGAGGTTTCATCATTGTGGAAGATCTGTGACACTAATTCAGATGCTTTAGCTTACTTGGCAGAGTTTTATGATCTGCCTTTTCCTGATAAAGGCTAGCATGAAACAGAATTGAGAAGCCGGCAAGGGGGTGGATATAGAAGGTTTTGTATGCTAGTATTCATTGTCAAATCCAGAAATTGATGTGTTCAGAATTTGAATCCAATAGAATACTAACTCTGACAAATTTCACAAGTATAAGCTAGACATGAATTCCTCAGAGATGTGTGAACTAATCTTGGCATCATTTGGTGACTCTGTCCTTGTTATGTTTCAGAAAATAGGTGATTAAGTTTGCAGTTAGTTGATTTTATGTATACATCCACTGTAACAAGAATGCTGAGATGTACTTCTGGTTTTCATCAAAGTGCCCGCAGCAGTTGGTTTTACTGTTGTACTTAGCATTATCATTCAATCAAACTCAAAATTAACACCATGCATTACATGGTTCCATTTGCAGTCAAGTTAAAGGATCTCTGGATGTGATCATGATGTAGATTTGGTCAAGCAAACGAACAAAGGCATTGAACACTAAAAGGTAAAGAAGAAAAAAAAATTCATTAAGAACAGAACAAAGTTCAAGCTGTCTGAAATCCCACAGAACAACAAACATGATTGAATACTCAAGTGCAACTTTAAAACCCCTATATCCTATAAAAATTTGGATAAGGGAATGATTAAAATCCCTCAAATTCCTAGTTCAACAATGAAGGTTTCTTCACATTATGCTGTACCACTCAGGATCACCATTACGAAAACCTACTGTTTGTGGCGGCAGCTGGGAAAAGTATTGAGCCTGTGGCTCATAGTAAGGATAATCTTGATAATACTGTGAGTGATGTGGGTAGTTTTCATATATGGGGTGCCAATTTCTTTCTTGAGGAGGATAGCCATAATAATACTCTGGTCTTCCATAGGGAGTATATCCATAGCTGCCTTGATACTAGTTATCATAGCCATGTCTCGGAGGAATGGTCCTCTCTTGGTATCCAGAATCCACCGGCAAAAGATCTGCATGTAACCCGACTTCTGCGAGCGTCTTCATAAGTTGTCTAGGGTTTATTCTTCCTGTTATCTGGACAATTCCTTTTTCACCATCTATGTTATAAGTGAATCCTGAAGGAAACAAACCAACGCAAATCACCAAGCAACAAAAGTATATTTTAAACTAATACAAATACAAATCAAAACAAAAGGAAACCTGATAAATGACTTGCTCCTCAAGAAACTAACAGGTAGAAAAATAGAAAATGAAGAACCATCAATGCCGTTCAAGACTCTAACAAGCATCACATGCCATCCAATGAACCGAGTATCAACTCTTAGAATACAGTTCTGAAGAAAAAAGAATCCACAAAAACATCAGACTAACATTAATATTTCATAGAAAAATGTTCATAACTAATGAGAAATGAAGAGCTGTTTCATGTAACCACGTGTTCAGCTGGATAATCCATGAGGTTCTTCCTCTTCTAAAAGATGATGAGAGATTTCCTGATATGCAATAGGAAACAAAAACAAGTAAGGTGAAATGAATCAAAAGGAGAATCACTTGGTTTAACTTGGACCAAGTTTCTTTGAGATATGAACTACCAGTTATACGAAGAAAGTTTTAAGAATGTGGATTAAAAATGATAAGGCAATTAAGTGGCTTAATCAAAATGTATCAAGGGAGATCACAAAATTAAGGTGGGATTTTTAAGAAAATTTCTCCATTTTCAATGAACATGATTCTCAATAATCTTTAATTTCCACTTTCACCATGTAATATTTTAGAAATCATAAAAGTTTTTGGTAAATCCCAAGAAATCTTACTACTGGTTTTTGGTATGTAAAAGCTCACAATTATTGCAATGAATAATTGGATACCTTGGGGTCTAAGGATTTGGGAGCTCTGGCCAAACTTGCCATTTCAAAATTGGTTACCATTAAATATATGTGATTGTCATTATTATGAATCATGTTTTATATTGAATTTTTCCATCTTTTGGAACGTCAGCCTAATCTCTTTTTTTTTTTTTTTTGTCAAAATTGTGAAGTACATTGTAAAGTTTTGCAAGTGAAAATTAGTTTAAACCAACAACCAGGAGTAAATAAGCATTGAAATTCCTATGTTTATATATATATATATATATATATATATATATACATGTATGTATATATGCAAATACAAATAGTAACTCAATTTGCAGCCTTATAATCGATAAAAAAAACTAACATAAATAACACTAAATGAATTTTCTTCATGAAAGTTCATTATTGGAAGCAAGACACCAAACAAAACATATTGATGAATACTTACATAAAACTTCTTTAAAGCCAGCTTTTCAAGAAATAAAAAACCATAACAGATAATGTTTTCCTCCATTAAAAAAGGGAGAAAAACACTAGTTCTAGCTAGTTAAGAAAACAAAATTAAGATCCCAAGATTATTTTGCATCAGACAACAAAAAGAATTTTTGGGTTTGGAGCTGGGAGTTGGATTCTTGCTGGTCTGATCATTAGCCTCAGATTCTTTATGGACAGGTCTTCCATATGGATCATGTCCATATCCATATTGTAACCAGCAAAGTCTAGCTGCTTTTGCTTCAGCTTTTGCTAGCAACTTTAATTGTAGCTGAGGACTTATTTTTCCAGAAATATATGCTTGCTTTGTAAATGCATTAATGTTGAATGTTACACCTGATAGAATTATAGTACTCAACATTAATTCGACACGAAAAGGAAAAGAATATGAAGTTGAATGAAGAAGAAAAAAAGGGAAAGCACACCTTGCATAGACTTGAACAATAGACACATTGTCTTGTGCCAACCAGGAATATCAGTATCCACTAGCAAAACACATTTCTGCAAGAAAATTGTGCCCTTTTTCAAGTATTTTCAATGAAGAAAATTAGTGGAAGGTAAAGAAATTCATAGTTTAGTTACCATCATAGGCTCTGATGCCGGTTTCAGAAGATCAATTCCATAGTTTATTTGATGAGCACGAGCATGTGTTTTTGCTTTTGCTAGCAACTTTAATAGTAGTTCTTTGTCAATTTTACCAGAAACATGTGCTAACTTTGCTTGTGCATCAATGGAGTAAGATACATCTGATAAAAAAAATTAAATATTAATTGGCATCAGAAAAGAAACTAAATAAACAAAAAGCAGAGAAAAAGAAGACAAAAACCTCAGATAGACTTGAATAATTTAATCATTGTCATGTGCCAGCCAGGAGCATCAGCATCCAATTCCAAAATACAAGTCTACAAGAAAATTTTGAGCTCATAAAAGGCAAAAAATAATGAAAAAGAAAAACATGAATTCAATAAAGAAGTAGTTCAATTACCACGCCTGAAGGTTCTCCAGCCATTGATAGAAGACAGAAAAAGGATCTTGTTCTTGAATATGTAAAAACGAAAAGTTGAGAAAATGAATAAGTCAATGCCTTTTGGAGTGCTAAAATTTTTTCCCTCTGCTTTAATGAAGATGATATCAAAAATATTTTCTGTGATGTAGTAATGAGTTCTTGCATGATATACATCAAACTTAGCAAAAACTGTGTGATATAATATGAACTCTGTTATAAAATACCTTTGGACTGACTGGCTATGCTTTATACACACACACACACACACTAACAGTAAAAGCTTCTAATAGGTTATATTAATTTGATTGGAGATTTGTAACGCAATGTCGTCAACAGTCATGCAATCTGTTAATAGAATACTAGACTTTTAGTTTTAATGCTAAGTTCAATCTCTGAAGTCGCGATTATAAAGGAAAAAAAAAGATTTGTAATGGTGGAAAAATTAATGTTAAGTATTAATGCCCCAATGACAATGAGAGATATAGGAAAAATGTGGTCAGAATATCAACCATAAAGATTCAATCAACAAAGGTTGCAAATTGCAATTTCATAATCAAACATGTTTGCTTAATTGTGGCTTTAGCAAGATTAATGCTTCATTTGGATGGACCAAGCTGTGGTTTTGCCACACCGTTCATCTAAACGAATCATACATATCTTCATTTCTTTTCATAGTTAAGACTAACATATTGCATCAAGATTGAAATTTCACTTATTGATTATAGTGCAAATTAATCCAAGTACTGCTCTATTTGTGGTGGTAGAACTGAGGAAAAACTAATGCTCTAAATCCCACAGTAGATATCAAGCCAAGTACTTTCAACATAAACTGAAAGAAGAAAATAAAAACAAAGTATAAACAAAGTCAAGTCTTTATATTAATCATGTAAACAAAAGAGTTAAAATATCATTAGAACTTCTGTTGCATCCATATGAATCCTAATAATAGACGGATTCATTCATAAAAACAAAACAAAAAAAGGGGTTTATCCGAAAAAATCAAATGAAAATCATTAGACAAATGGATAAAAGAAAGTTCCAATTGTCTATGATCAACAACTCTAATAGTAGCGAGTGGACCAAGAGCTGTAAGGTTCAAAATGTGGTGGATTAGGAACATAGGGATCATGATAGCTGCTGTAATGGTAACCAGGCTGCTGACCATACTGGTAAGGGTACTGAAGATATGGATCAGTTTCATAGCATCCACGGCTGCCATAAGTATTTGGCTTTCCGGTCTCGATCCAGACAACATCAGAACCTGATTTTCTCGGCTTCATCAGAATTGATTTGGAGTTTGCACTACCAGGAACAAGAGCCATACCTTGTTCTCCATCTACGGTGTATGCTGCTCCTACACAAGCATTGTAATCAACGTCTAAAGAACTTTGTTTTCCATCAAACATGGATAAGGAGCAGGAGAGGGATAAAAATACCTTTGATATTCTTCAAAACTTTGGTCAGACTTTCATACCATCCTGGAGATTGGGGGTTAACTCTTAGACCCAAAGTCTACATAGCCATTACCAAAAAGAAAGACCGTTCATTAATCAAGCTGATTCAAGTACTATGTTGCATCAAAATTAAGAATTAAAAGAAGATGACACTAACCAAGTATTGTTCTGATGATGAATCAGATGAAAACATGTTGATGAAATAGAGAAGAATGTCTTTGTTTTTGTGTTTTTCTTGGCAGAAGGGAAGATTTTCTTGATGGTGCCTTGATAGAGGGATTAAGTGGAGTTAAGAGACCATGAGAGGCAAAGAATTTATAGAATCTTTAGGTATATCTTTTTTCAACTGTTTAGAGGGAAACAAAGCTATTAAAACAAAGTTATGATTTCCTCGTGAATCTTCCCACGCGGCTAAAAGGAGTTTTCATGGTTTAATTAGATCAGTTTAATAGTAAATTTAAAGTTTCCACAGTTACAAGTTTAATTGTAGATTTCCAAAGGGCTGGAATCAAGGTTTTCCTGAAACTGAAAGTTACTATCCATTGCTGAAAATCAGGGTTGAGAAATTCTAGTTTCTTACTCCTATGTTGAACTTTCCTGATTAGCTTGCAAATTAAGAATGTTTTGATAGATTATGTAACCGAAGATATTCCAAAGTTCTTGTGTTACAGAAATATTACAAGTTCTCCTATATTTGCACCTAAATCAAAAAAAAAAAAAAAAAGTCATCAAGAATCGAAGAGATTGATCCGTCAGATATTAAGTTAATTGGCAAGAAATTTTCCTATGGAGATTAAATGATGCTTCTATCGGATATGAGGCAGGAATTTGCTTAGTCTCTTCCATGAAAGATTGCTGCATAAAATTGTTTCTAACGAGTTAAAGGGTGTATCTTTAGGATTAATGATGTTCTAATTATTGGTGAATGAAATAGAACTTTAGAATTCATTCAATCTGCAAACATGAAAACAACTTCATGTTCTTCATTTCATTAAAATCATGAGAAGAATACAATATATTTCCATTTCAAACAAAATAGTTAAGTATAAAAAAACCTTCACCACCTGGGATAATTCAAGTCCTAGTAATAATAATAAGTACCAAGATCCTAATTGACTTGTAAAACAAGTCAAACATGACAATGTTGTCTGATAATCATATTCACATAATCATGCACTAACTGGTTCACTGGCATAAAAGTGTTACGGACGCATTGGAGGTTGGGGAAGAAACCGAGGAGGGGGAAATGGATAAGGCTACTGGTAATATTGATGGTTAATTTGCCAATATCTTCCACGGGAATCATCGAAAAAGTGATGGTGATGACCTCTTCTTTCAGAAGGTTGATTGGTTCCAGAGTCAATCGAGTACAACTGAGCATGTTTCCCTGCTTTTGCTAGCAGTTTAAGAGTTTTGCCAGGGTCTATGTTACCAGAAACACGAGCCAAACCATTTGTATCAATGGAGAAAGTAGCACCTGATAGAAGAGCAACAAAGAAAATGAATGATTAGACTAGACAAAACAAAAAAAAAAAATATTTTCACTAAGTTTTCAAATGAATACCTGGAATTCCCTACAAGACTTTGATCATGGATTTTTCCCAGCCTGGAGTCTGAGTATCCACTCTAAGGATGAATGTCTGAAATCAACCAAAAAAAAACAGTAATAAACAAAAGTACCAAACACTTCAAAAGAGATAACAAAGAAAAAAATAACTAATATAACTGTGCATGAAGATGATCCGGAGTCCATTGGATTTTGTTGGATAAAAATGAAAGGAACAAAGGGAGATTTCTTGACCGGATATGAAAGAGAGGATGGTTTAACAAGTTTTGGGGGAAGAGATGATTAGCTGAGTTGGTTTATATAAATAGCTTTTTTAGTAAATCAAAGATTTGGGATTCAAAAAAGGAATGTTTTGGAATATTTTTTAAAATTAAGACCAACTTATGGTAATAAAATCACTTTGTAAGAATCTTACCATAGGATGTTTGCCGTATAAAACAGACCACTTTCCTTTCCCCAAAGATATGTATTAAATGAACCCGAATCCAAAATCCCGACCAAGAAAACTCAAATCTGAGCTCACCCAAATCTGAAATGTCCCGATCCCACCTATTTGTCACCTTTACATGCTGGGGTTTGGATTTCCTTCCGCTATATAAGAAAATGGCAGATAACATAGAGTGATAGTGTTTTAGAATATGGAAATGAATTCCATTCTTATATTAGAGTAGTTATTTGAATTGATGATTGTGGCCAATTCATTAGATTTGATTATTAGAGTCAAGAGATATGGGCCTATGATTAGTATCAATCAATCAAGGAATTTAATTCTGAACAAATGGATCACACGTTAATCCATGCATGCTTGAAGCAAGCTTTGCATACAGCACATCGTCCTATATACCATATAACTGAATCAAGAGCTGAGAAATCGAATGCAACATAAGAAAGAAACAATTTCAAATTTCTACTTGCAAAAGCTTCAAAATCTCAACAAAAACTTCAGCATACATTTTCACCACTTGCAACAATCTACAAATAACAGAAAATAACAATGGCCCCCCATCAGTTAGCTGGAGGAAACCTGCCTTTATTTGGTTTTACCAAGGACTTCCAGAAAGAAGAAAAAGCTCCTTTCAGCTCATCTGGAATAGGGAGTGAAAGAGGGAGTGCTAAAGGACGAGGTCCGTTGTAGGACCCGCTCTTGTTTCTCACAGACAATGAATGTGCCAGTGCTGGCTGCTGCTTGTTAAACCCGTCCATGACAAATGAGAATGCCCCAAATGTTAGACAGCTCTGTAGAAGTGCCTGGGGTGCACCTGCATATAACCATTTCATTGCAAGAAAAAATAAGCTTCAAACTGAAACCTGTATTTTATAGCAAAAGAATGAACCCCAGATTCCCATACCTGGGAAACTTAGAGCAAGTCCAGTGCAACATCCAGCTACACCAGCATTAATAACTGCAGAGAAAGACAGCATTACCATATATCAACAAACCATGCACAAAAAAAAAGAGACATTTCTCTGATTTTTACAAGGCATACCATCATCTTTTCCCCGCAGCCTCTTCAAAAAGCAAACAACCAAACAGTGTACACCCGACAAAACTGCAAATGTCTATAAATGGAAAATATATAAGAGACCGTAGACATTTGTTCACTCAAGGGGTTAAAATTACAAGTTAATCACATTATTCTAGAATCATGAGATTCTCATACCTTTGCATAAGATCCCGCCTCCACAAAGGATCCTTTAAAGCCTTTCTTTTTAATCAATCCGGAACCTGAAACAAATGTGGAAAGAGAAAATTAAAGAAAGCATAGACTTGATTTCAAACAAACAGATGACCCACAACAAATGTTAATTAAGAATCCAAGTTCAGATTGTTTAGTAGAATATTCCACGCAAAAAATTGCTCAGTGACAACTCTAACCTTGAAGTACCACACAAATTAATAAAATTCAGGGCATTTAACATGCAATTTACGGCAACCTATAACCTGAAAGAAAGCATAGAATCCTAGTTCTCAATCGTCACAAGCTCACACACATAATAGCTCGGTCTCTTAAAGGTCCAAAGTTCCCATAAGGGTAATGTTCAAGCTTAAAGACATAGTGCAGCAAAAGCACCATTATTCTTGTTAAGTATCCAACTTAAAACCAATTAGCAGTATGTGAAAAGAGAAATTAGATATTTATTAGACGTGAGATAACATCACTTTAATAGACCCTCGTCCCATGTAGACTGAGATGTAAAATGCCTATCATGTAAAAGATTTGAAAAGGGTAACAGAAGAAAATTCTGACTTTAATACCACATTAAGCATCCAACTTAAAATTATTTGTTAGTGAAAAAGTCCAACTTGAATATAAGATTACAAGAAATTAGATTTGGGATAATACCACTTTAACAATTCCAAGAGAAGAAAATTTTCAATCTAAATTACAATTCAAGATGCTGAAAAATCCACTGTTCAACATTATGACCATATTATCCACTCAAACAATACCATTAGTCCATAAGCAAATTATTATAACGCTTTCAAGTTTCAACTCAACATTCCTATAACAAAACCAAATTTAAAAAGAAAAAAAAAGTTTTGATCTTTATTCAAAATCCTCAAAACCCCAGATTAATAAACAGCATCAAACTAAACTTACCAGGAAATTCAATGAAAATTCCCAAAAATTTGTTCTTTTACCCCCCAAGAAAACCCAGAACGAGAAAAGCCTAACTTTTTTCAAAAGAACAGAGATATGAGGCATCAAATATTTTCAAAAGAAAAGAGAAAAAAAGATACCGTAGCCAAAGATGGAGCCCATGAAGGCACCAGCGACGGAGTCTCCTGCGAATTGGAAGAGGCACACGGCAGGGGAATTGGAATTGGGAGGAATTGGGATTACAGCTTTTGAAGAATTAGAATTAGGGTTAGTTTCAAGATCAGTTTTTTCAGGTGAAGAGTTCGAAGAATCCAAAGTAGCCATTTTTGTTCAAAACAATCTGGGTTTTTTTTTTTTTTTTCTCACTTTTCTCCGTGTAGCTATCGCTTGGGAAAAAGAAAGCACGCAATATATTTTGCTTATCTGCATACGACGTCGTTTTATCTAGATTTTTTCATGAACGGGATTTTATTTGTATCTATATATTTTTTTAAACATTTTGACCTTAAATCAAACGGCAAGGTTTAAGAAGTTTTTAAGTGAAGTATATTGGCAAAAAAAAAAAAAAATGATACGATACGTAAATAATATAAATATAATATAAATAAAAAATATGAGTTAAAATTTTAATAATATTATAATTATTTTATATTTTCGTAATTGTAATTTTTAATAAAACATTATATAAATACATAAATTTAAATATTTTATATGATATAAACACAAAAATCACCAAATACATTAAAATCAAGTTAATAAAAAAGTCAAACCCCACCTTTTTTTAATCACATTACACACAAAGTTCATGTAATGAAATTAACTCCAACAAATTTCAACACTAGACACATTCAAGTATTCAACATATATGAAATTGAAAGCATATATTAGAGGTTATACAAGAAAAGTAGTATTATTATATTCATTTTGACCCAAGTAGGGTCTGATTTCCTTGGATGAATTAGTAATGTTCTTGATATATTGCTCCAAATTCTGCTCTCCATGCCTGATCATCATCTGGAATTGCACTGCTGTTGTGTGCTGAATCATCACGATATAGAGGTTGCAGTGCAGATTCAGGCAATCTGCTCTCTGCAAGGTACTGCTTCATGGTGATCATCTCCATCTTGTGTTTTCTTTTCAGCTTCTCCACTTGCTTCTTTAACTTTTCATTCTCTTGCTGAACATTACTAAAGTTCTCCTGTAACGCAAGGCAAAAATGGCACTCAAGTTTGGATCAATAATAAAGTTCTTGTCATGAAAATATGTAAATTTTCACTCAATTTACCTCTGCTACAGAGGCAGCTTGCTCAGCCTCTCTCAGCCTAACAAGGAGTTCTCCAGCAGCATGAACAGCTTCTGCAGTGTCTCTAAGCTGGATTCTGAGACTTTTGTTCTCCTTTTTCAAGAATTCTTTCTCCCTTTCCCTCTCCACTCTAAGAGCTGAAAGCTCAGCAGCCAAGGATTTTGCAAAACGTGTGCCATGACCTTTGGCTCCTGCCTTTGCTGCTGCCCTCTTTACCTCTGCTATCCCTTCCATTATTGCCCGGTGCTTAGCAACCAGATCATTGTATTTTTCTTGTAGTTCAGCATAGTGTTCAACCATTCTAGCATGCCCAAGGACAGCTCTGCTAAGAGCATCATCCAACTCCTCAGTGCACTTCTTCTCCAATTTCAGTTCCATCTCTACTTTCTCTGCACGGCAGCGGTTGGATTCAAGGTCCATCCTGAGTTCATCAGTTAATGATATCCAATCACTTTCCATTTCCATCCATCTCTGTCTTTCCTTCTCAAGTTCTTCCTCACTGTTATCACGACAGTCTACACTTTTTCGCAATTGAATGGAACATGACAACAAAGAGGATCTCAGTTTTTCAGTAGACTTGTTTGGAGATGCAGTATATGACTGCAATTTGCTCTTTAATGTTTGAATTTCCTGAAGCAGTGCTTCCTTTTCATTCTGATCAAAACTTTCTTTTCCATTTTCACCATTGTTGGACCGCTCAAATGGTATTATTTCATTCTTCCGAGACTCAGGAGCATCTTCAATCGTGGAATTTTCTCTCTCATGTTTGTATTGCTCTACCTGTAGAAGTTCAGACTGTCAAATATAACCCAAGTATTGGGCATCTTGTTATTAAAAAGTTGAATAAAATTATTACCAGATGGTTTAACTGCTCAATTTTGGCTGCTTGCTCCATACAAACACTTTCGAGGGCTTTCTCTCTTTTGGTGGCCTCTGCCAAATTCCTTGCTACAGCCTGAAATAGAAGCAACAAAACAACAAAACTAATGACTATAGAACAAGGAAAACATAAAAGAGAACATAAAACAAGAGCCAGTCTGAACATACTGTGGTCTTTCCATCTTTCTGTTGATCAACGGCTACAATCCATGTCTTCAAGCTATCCTGAACCCCGTTAGGGTTATTATTGTCAAACTTCCTTTGGCAAGATGAACAAAGCAATGGAGTAGATGGTTCATCTGAAGATTGTTTGTCATCTGATAATGTTTGAACAGAAGCATTGGCCTTGTCTGCTGCAGGACTACGCTTCAGCATTAAGTGTTCAAAAGAGAAGGCAACTGAAGATCTGTTGGAGGCTGAACTACTCTGGTGATAATCAATAATCTGCAGGCCTCTTTGAAGGCTGGCAGCCAAAGACTCTGTAGCTCCTGAAAATATCTTGCTTGAACGTAATGAGGACCTGATGTGCTCATTATGTTTGAGTGACTGTTGTAATACCTCCGACTCTGAGCTCTCTGATACATTGTTCTGACTAGCCAAAAGTGCTGATGAGACAGCTATGCTTTTCCTTGGATTATTTCCAATTTTGGGAGACTCTGACAAAGTAGGCTCTTGGAGGATTGATGACCGATGGCATGAGCTAATGGCGATGCTATTTCTAATTGAAGGATCAACAGCCTTGAAGGTTTTTGATGTAATTGAAAGGTCATCAGCTGATGCAGGAATGGCCATGGGGGGAAGTCCTTCTACATCAATTTCTTCTATCTCTGTGTCTTTTGGGCAATGAACGTCATCTTCACTCAGCAAGTCTGTCTCACAACTTTCTTTTACAGAAGAAGACTGAATGGAACCTCTCTTGTCAGATGGATCTCTTAAGTTTGTGTCACAAGAGCTATGATAATCTAGCTGATGACGTAGTTCCTTTACATCTTCCTCACCAATATTAATCTCTTCCTCATAATCATCTTCTATGCGTGGGAGGATCAAAGAGCGGTTAAGACTTACCCTTAATTGGTTCAAGCTATCACGTGCAGTCCACCCTTCAAAATATCCACTTTTACTCCCAACTGAGCTATATACATCAGATTTTGCTCTTATAAGCTCTTCCTGTAATTGATAACAGCAAGTCAGGTCATGATAAGATACAAAAATTAAGTTAATAGGGGTAACTCTTGAAGAAACTTTTCTACCTTTAGTTGACGAATCTGATCACTCAAGTCATTGACATCATCTTCGGAGATTTCATTAATTACTGGCTCATTTCTTATAGATTTAATCCTTTGCCCAAATCTGAGAGTGCTTAGTATTTCACTACTATTTCTGCAGTCAAAAACAATGAGCTTCGCTCAAACAATGGACCTTTGAAAACAAGAACAGTTTATTAACAAGGTTATGTACATAAAGAAAATAAGGTTAATGTTATTAAAGGTTTAACATTATTGCTGCTCACATTCCATAATGAACAAAGTCAAAAAATGTAATTAGACTGGAATACCTGTTGTCTGCAGAAATGTTGCAAATAACTGTGAGCTTGGCGTTGCCACCAAGGGATTCTCTCAGTATACGTGTTAAACAAGAACCTCCATAAGGAGCATCTTCAGGTTTTTCAGGTTGAGTTTCTTTTGCAAGAGTGTTCACCAAATATCTACACCAATGAAACAAACAAAGATTATAAAGAAGCTCTAGCTATACCCAATAATGACAGATTTACATTGCAATTCTTAAAACATGTTGACAACTAAACACCAACACCATCATAGTGACTTCCAGATTATGTGAAGGTCTGATAGACATACCCAAGATGTGATAGGGACTTCTTGACATTTTTCCCTTCCTGTACACTTTGTCTACCCACATCTTCGAGTTTGTTTCTATCCAGGCCTGCAAGGTCAATCAGGCTGATTCTGCTTGTTTTTGAACTGCTGAAACATTTTGATGAGGCTCCCTGTGGTACGAGAATCAAAGATCATTCCAATGTAAGAAACTAAGAAGGCTTTGACACAATGAGTTAACTCCATGATGATAAGCTCATTATTTTATGAGTGGCAACTCTTAGAACCTAGATGTGCATAATTACATTTGGCCACATTGATCATGGAACTGAACAACATCCACCATAAAAGTAAACGCCATGAAACTAAACCAGACTGGCTGACACCCAAAAGAAAAGATTAGTAGAACTAAATCTTGTCTTGACCGTAGTGGTAGAAAATCAAGATTTAGCTGTACCTTGCACCAAGATTCAATGACGAAAGTAAACACAATGTGAGACCGAGAGCTCTTAGAATTTACAGTTGTTGCTCCAACCTTCTTACTTGAAAGCCCCTGTAACACAAATATATAAAAGAGTAATCAATACATGCATGGACCCAAATTCGCATGTCAATATCATATAAGGATAAAGCAAGCTAGATAAATATGCATTCAAAGCATTATTTAGAAACCTTGTCATATAACAAATGTTGCACGCCTACCTTAATCAAGATTTGAGTTACATCCTCATAGCTAGAAACATATTCTTCAGTCAAATTCTCAACATACAATCCATTCTTTGGATCATCCTTTATCTGAAATACAATATCCAATAAACCAATCATACAACATGAAGCAATAAGCCCTGAGAAACTGTTAGAAGGGGAAAAAAAGAATAGCAAACATTTACCTCAAGGTTCCGTTGAGTTGGATCAAGTAAATCCCCAATTTGCTCATTGTAAATCTGTAAATCAATCGTGCAGAACGCGTTACAATTATGTGAAGCAAACTGTACAGACATTGGTTTTATATAAGCCTTCGGAAACCTGTACATACCTCGAGAAAGGAGCAACGGCACTGATAATTTATCAGCTTCCCATCATGGTTCTCTTGCTCCTATAAATTTAAGATATATGAATCAATGAACTATACTTCCAAACTCCTAAAATTCAAAAAAGGGAAAAGAGAATAGCGTACTCTTTGAATCTCAGAGAACAACATTTGGAAGATACGAGGAACAATCCCCTGGTGGCTTCTAGGTGAAGGATCCTCAACCATGGCGCTTGGTGGACCCCACATTGTGTAAGTCTTTCCACTTCCAGTCTATTGATGAATCATGACCATCAAAATTTTTCTTGACACAAGTACTCACCTAAGAGATTGAGAGCTTAGAATATGTTCTAGAAACTACCTGTCCATATGACAATATTGAAGTGTTGTAACCAGCTAATGCATTTTTAACCAAAGGAACACCAATTAGCTGAAAAACATCCTCCTGGCAGCCACCAAAAACAAATAGTTTATGATGTCAAAACACCCTTTATAAAAAGATTTAAAAATTTTCAATTACGTACTGACTACTCACTAACCTGATTGGAATTTGAATCAAGAACAGAATCAAATGTGAATTTGCGGTCACCAACGGTTAAGGAATCTGAAGAAACCTTCCTCACTGTCCGATCTACTTCTTTTTCTTGAGCATTTATGGGTCTAATTCTCACTACCACCTTTTTATCCCAAAAAAAAAAATTATGAAAATTAAATTTCACTAAAAACCAAGTTTCAATTAATCATCCAACTTTCTACTTTGCTAAAGATTTAAAAAAAACCCAGAAAAAATTAATAATCAAGTTTCTAAATTTACCTTCACTGATGGATCTAAATCCCCCAATTCTCCTTTCCGTTCCTCAGATTCAACAGCCTCCTTCTGCTTAAATTCCACAAAAGTATTCGAAATAAATATCAAAATTAAAAATTTAAATAAAAAGGAGGGATCTTTGTTAAGTTTCACCTACCTTGATGGAAGAGTCCATGGGAGGCAACGTTTGACGGTAACCGTCCGATGGGTTGATCAAGGAGTCAGAAGTAAGCGATTTGGACGGTGGAGATTTGAGGGAAAACTGGGCGGAGTTGTTAACTTGAATAATGTTGGGATCTAGTGGAGGCGTGTTTTCAGAGTTGGGTTTGTTAGCGCTTTTCTTAAGCTTTGATTTTGGAAGCAGATTTCGAAACGAAGACCTCGAAATGCTCCCCAAGAAACGGCCATTCTCGGCGGCGACGGCGGTTTCAGTGGTTGATTTCATTGTTCGAGAATGGGAGAGAGAAGAAGAGAAGAGATTTGTGGTCTCTGAGAGAGAGAGAGTGAGGGTTTGAATTTGAATGTGGAGAGACAGAGAAAGGGGAAAGGTGAGGTTTTTAGTTGTTGAAAGCAGGGGAAGGAGATGACCGTTGGAGATTTTTGAATGTTATTGGTATGAAATGACCATAATTTCCTTTCAACTCTTTCCTTTTCCTCTTTTATTTTTTTCCTTTTTCTTTTTTTTTTTCTCATTTGGGAAAAAAAAAAGCTTGCTTGCTAATTGTGTGTTTATCTTCATTTATTTAGAAATTTTTTTTGTTAATTTAATTTGTAGATAAGTTTTAATCATTTTGTTCACTTATTCTAATTCTTCATGTATTAAATGTCAAACTTAGGCTTAATTAAAATTCAATTAATTTATAAATAAATCAAACTTAATTAGATATAAATTTCACTCATTCTCATATATTTCCCGTCTTAATCAAGAAAAAATTTAATTTAACTTATTTTTAAGCTAAAAATTTTATTTTTTTATTTGAGATTATGAATCTTGTATTTTATCAATAAATTATATAATCGTTGACAAAATTTATATTTTTCATTAGAGATGAAAATGCAAATTTTAAAATTATTTCTTTCATTTATATAAATTTTGGTCTCTGTTACACAAGCAAGAGGCATTAATCAAAATTTATTTTCATGAAAACAAAAAAGATAGGTCCTACCAAATTATTAACTAGTTGTTTTGAAAAAAATATGCAAATACTTTTTATTTTAAACTCAAAAAGCGCTCCTTTAAGATAATTGGATTAACCGATCAAATTAAAAAATATAGCCGTTATGGTCGGCGCAAGCAAAAGCTTGGAGCTTATAGTTGAAAAATAAAGCTCCTTGTTAAACAATGACGGCTAATTTGGGTGGGTTTTTTTATTATTATTTTTATGAAAATTTTTAGCTTAAAATATTTTAAATTAAATTTAATAATTTAAAATACAATATAAAATATGGTATGAATATTAAATAAATATATAAATTTAATAAAATTAAAAATATATATTTTATATTTTCATATCGTCTTAAAAATTTCATATAAAACATAATACAAATATATAAATTTTAATGTTTTATATCATATAAATATATGAATCGTCAAATTTATTTTAAATTAAAATTGATAAAAATTTTGAGTGAAATTCAAATTGTAATTTAGATGTTGACCATGAATCTCTTCTCAACTGGCCAAAAGAAAAAAAAAACACACAAAAACAAAAACTCCTTTTTGAAAGGATCTTTAACCAAAATTTGGATTGTTGATTATATTAGGTCATCAAATAATCTTCTAAAACTGTTAACTCACTAATTGTTACATGATTTTTTGATTGAAGGATAGCTTGGATGGGCCATTAGGCAAGCCTACTAGCCCATTTGAATAAAAAATTCACCATGGCAAAGGAAAGCCCTAACTACATAGTACAAACATATATCCCATCGAGAGGCTTCAAAGAAATACAAAGGATTCCAATCCTAATTGTTCAAAGTAGCCATCATCAACATTAGCCACTAAAATTTTCACAACAACCAAATGTAAACTGAGGGTGATAATTCAAGAGAATTGATGAAGGGCAGGGCCCTATGAATCTGACCAAGATGGGTTTGCTATCTAAAAGAAGTAAAGTTTTAGACCATAATATAATCCCAACAAAACCTTTGATATTAATGCCCACTTTTAAAACAATTTGAGAGTAGGCCAATAGGGTGATCCTGTATGGGACCCTTGTTCCTTGAAGAGCATTAATGCAGTTCATCCAATCATGCATTGTTCAGCCTATCCAGCTTCAAAACCTGTGCCTGCCAAGAGTACCAAAACCTGCCATGGCCACACCTTAGAGTTTGTCAGAAAGACAATAATGCATTTTTTTTCTTAACATCAGGTGACCATGTCATGAAAGAAAAAAAAAAGTGTTGGCTATCTTACTGGGGTAGTGTTACAGATTGCAAGCTTGTCTTGTTCAAATCATCCTTTCAATCAGTAACTCAGTAACAATCATAGTCTATCATATTTCTTGGAGATAAAAGTCACTGGAGTTAGTTCAGTTAACTTGTTAACCAATGTTCAATTCTTATTAGAACATTTCAGAGTTTCTCAATTCCATTCAGAGGCTGCAGAACCTGAAATCTGAAAACAAAAAAATGATCTAAGTGAAAATTGTTAACGATTGTTGATTTTCCAGCTTCAAAATTTCCTGGTTTTTCATAATCTAAAGTTTCTTAATGTCAATGGAAATTGATTGAAATGTTTTTATTTATGGACAATGGAATTTCACATTCAAGTTTGTTTTAGTTTACAAATTTGATTTACCTCAGTTCATTGATGGGGTGATTTGGATTCTAATGTGCTCATAATTTGTACTTATCCCATTCTTTTTTTCCTAGTCTTCACTCTTTCTTCCTTGAGGTACAAGTTAATTCCCTTTTCAGCTTCCATATGTTTTAGGTCCCAATGCAATAACAACAAAAATTTGCATTCAAAATGCAAAAGAAAGCAAATTTCACTGCCTCTTAACCTCATTCTTTTACCAGATTATGTAAAAATAGTATGCAATTTTCCTCATAGCTATCAGTGTGAAAATGCCCCATGACCTGAAACCCAGAATTGCCAAACAAAATATGACTGAGTCAACAATGAATAATGTGCTTAATTTAAGTAGTTGAGTGCATTATAATTTGAAAACTTTAAACATTTCAAGTGTACCATAGTTTATTTGTTAAAAAAAAAAAAACAACTTTTTTCTTAGTTGATTCGGGCTCGGTTCGATTTTCATGAAAACACTCCAAAAATAAAATTTTGAATGCAATACTTTCTTGAAAGCATTCTTAAGAAAATTAGATCAAAAAAATTGAATAGATTGAACATAACCTAGCTTATTGTCAATGATAAGGGCATATATAATGCAGAAAAGACAACCGGAACGTTCTATACTTAGTTTAATAATTTTTAATATTTAATTGTTTTTGATGACTGGGCTCAAAGTTACCAAAGTCAAGGACATGGACTTAAAACAACACCTAGAAAAGCATCTAACAGTCATTAAAAGGCCAAGGGGTTGTATCAAATTTCAAACTAAGCAATGTTTTATTAAGTTATCTATGATATTTTCAATAAGAGTCAAGATTTGCTGACATTGCAATAAAGAAAAACAAAGAAAAGAAAATTGTGAGCATCTGCTGATCCTTTTTTCTTTTTTTCTTTTTTTTAGGCCAAAATCATCTTATCTTTTCACAAAGTTCAGTTTTTCAATGTGACCAATGGAAATTAGTGAGAATATTAGCAAACCCCATTTAAGCAATGACTAATCTTTACTTTTATTGCACCCCAAGTGGAGCCTCAAAGATTGACAATTAATATTCTTACCAGAAAGCTCTTTTTTCTTTTGGTTTTTTTCCCACCTTCAAAGGATCAAATCAAAGAGCAACACAAAAATGATAGAGCAATGTTCTTCAAAACCAAAAAAATTGCCTTAATGGTAAAATTACAAGATACCCTCGTTTTGTTTCTTGATGATAGTGAAATTTACAAGTTTTTATTGCCTTTTGTATGAAAAAGGAGAAAAAAATATGACAATAAGAAGAATTTTAATTCATGAAATTAATACTCATATTGGTCTAATCTATCTCAATCACTCTTTAAAAAGGAAAAAGAAAAAGAGAAAGGAAGAAAGGAAGAAAGGAGGAAAGGAGGAAAGCTCCATTTTTATCCCTATCATGGGAGACCCTTTTCTTGGCCAGGAATCACCTTGATGAAAGGGAAAATGACAATTTGCCTTTTGGGTTAGAGGGTTTAGTAGGCCATCCTCATCAAAAGTCTACTACTTTGATATTTGGATTAGATGTATTTTTCAAAGGGATAGTTAAGGATGCTTGAATAGTATATACTTCATCAAGTCATTTCAATCACAAGAAACAAAAAAAAAATGACCCCACCATATTAAAATTCCCTTTGATAATTTCTACCATTTTGGCCTTGCAATAGGGGTTTTAGTTTGAATAATACAGCACAAGACTTTGGGAGGAGCATGTTCATAGGGCCCCCATTAAATAACGTTAGTGCTCTATCTCTCTTCTTTTAGTGGAGGATTTTTGCCCCTAAAGTAATAATAATTCTCCTAAATTCTTACACATTCTTTTACTTTTTTGCTTAGTCTTGATTGATTTAGCATCTGCAATTTTTTATACTTCAAAAAAGACTTTCTGTTATCTTTCTTTACTTTTGCTTTTAAAAAGAAAGAAATAGTCAAAAAATTTGATCCTTACCAAAGAGTTTCATGTCTCTGAGAAGTTTGGATTGTAACGTAACTTTAGTGCAATGCAATTGAATTCATCAATTTAATTTAAATATTAATTTTAATAAAATTTAGTTAATATAAAATTTTTAATTATATTTATTATATTTAATTTTATTAAAATCAATCTCATTATCTATTTAAAACGAGTTTTAATTTGATATTTGGACCACAAACTAAAAAATCCATGTCTCTTATTTATTATGAGTTAAGATTTTATGATTATGATTAAATCATGTTAAGATTCCTTGATAATTTTTATGAAACCTAATTCAGGAAATCAAAACTCAATAAAGAATTATGATAAATTAGTGTTCTTGATTCCATATATGTAATAATAGAGGAGTCATCCCACAAAACATTGATTGACTTGTTCTTTTGCTACTATTTTTATTCTATCCCTCCAAATAGAGGCTTCTGTTAGTTGGATACAGGGGTTGCATCTGACTTCTTTTACATTTTAAACAAAGTTACAATAGTCTAAATCCACCTAAAAATTGACTCCTTCTAGACATGCATCTCAATTAAAAAGTACATTTTTTTTAAACTCAAAACACCCAAAAATTAAAACCCCCTTTGCATATGTGTGGGGCTAAAATTAATTGTCTAGACTGCAACATTTTGACTGCAAACGTATCATTTTTTTTTTTCAGAAAAAAATTTAAGAATAGTGGAAGTTACCTTATTTTTAAAATTAAGATAAATTATCAATTTATAAGAAAATTTATAAATTTATTTATATTTTTTAAACTTTCATTAGTGAAAATTTTTAAAATTTTTAAATTATTTACTAATAAAAATTTATAAAAATTCGAATTCGAATATTTTATATGTTGATTCTAAACTTTAATCACTTGTGCCGACCCTTATTGACATAACATATCATAGTTGAATAGTTTGAAGCTGCCGTTGAAGAAGGGCTCTTTAAAGGCATTTATAATATTGCAGCCTATGGCTGTGGTTTTTATAACAGGGCTTCCAAGATCACGTGGGAGACTGATCAGTATGGTCCTGATTCCTGAAAACACAACTAATCTTCAGTTTCCTATATCAGGGAATCATGCCAAGTACCATTCATAAAGTTTTGTGTCAGCCCTACTGAACCAATAAGGTAGGACTTGAACCCTTGCTATGATGAATGTCAGTCATACACAAATTCAAATACCAATTATCATCAGATTTTTTTTTTTTTAGGAGGGTGTGAGCTATTATGAATCAAGAAGCATCTAGATAGTGTTAATTCGATCATTTTGGTTAATATCGGATTCAAATTATTTTAATTTTGAATTAATTTCACAGTCGAATTAAATTAAGTTTAGGATTAATTCAAAGTCATTTTAGTATTTTTCGGATTTAATAGAGATAATAAATCTAAGATTTAGATTAATTAATTTATAAAATTATCAATAAATATCTATAATTATTTTTTATTTTTAATTAAGTTACCATCTTTTTTATAAAAAAAAAAATCAAGAGAGATGATAAAGAAAATATTTCTCAATCAATTGAGTTTTTCCCATTTACATAATTTTGAGGTAACTTGTAATTATGAAATAGATTTATTATTAAGAAAATAAATGAAATTCCTTTAAAGAAAAATACGACTACCAGACAATCATGCATGATTGTCGGATACATATTTCAGTTGAATTTTCTTGGATTGGACAAAGATTTTATTTATTTAATTAATCTCACTGATCAGGAAAAAAGAAGATTGGAATAATTAAGGGTTGCTTCAATTGCCAGCAAATTTTCTTTGGGATGTCAAATTCAGAACATAAGTTGTCAATATAAAGGAATGAAAAGGGCAAATAGTTATGCAACTTTGAATTTAACATATCAAATTTTTTTAATAAAAAAAGTCGTAATTTGATAAATGAGAAAGGATTGTAATTAATAAAATTTAAATTTAAATTTATTAAATATTATCTTTTTAAAAATAATTATATCAATCAAATGAATTAAATTTCAGATTCTAACGTATTTACTTTTTTTTTGCATACTCAAAAGGATGCAGAAACATGAAGAACAAGTCCAATCCATTTTGTTTTCAAGCATGCAAAAATGGCCAAAATTGCAGCATAGAAAAAACAAATCTCAAATAGTAAAGCTAGTTATAATGGCCCTTTATCATGTATAAACAAAAAGTGAAAGATAAAAGGAACCATACAGAATCAAATTTCATAAAGGCCTGCTATGATATTTAGCCTCCAACTTTCACAAATTAGATTTGTCTAATGCCATTTTTACTTTTTACCATATCTTTTTACTTTTTTTTTTTAAAAGGAGGCAAGGTTTAGAGAAGAATTAAATATATATATAAGTATTAGAAATTGAATCTCAATTTTATAAAAAAATTAATTTTTGAAAAGTGTAATGTTTCGATTAAATTTTAAATTCGAATTTGACAATATTTAAATTTTTAAAAAGTGATATTTACAAATTTTGTTTAAAGCAAATTTAGACAATTTTCAAATATGACAAGATAATACGATATTAAAATGATACGAATAAAAATAAAAAAATAATACAGTTTAAAGTTTTAGTGAAAACTATAAATAGATTTAACAAAATAAAAAAATATTTCATATTTTCATATTAATACGAATTATAATAAATAATTTTTATATAAAACACGACACGAATATATAAATTTTTAATATTTTATATGATACAAATATACGAATTATTAGATCTAATTTAAAATTAAATTTTTTCTAAATAATTTCAAAGGTACATTTTCTTGTATCAATCAAATATTGATCAAAACGACACTTCTTTACCGATTCGGTTAGTTCATGTGAGTCTAATATTTCAAACCTATACTTAATTATAATGTCATACTTTTCTCGTGATTTCATTTAATCATAATGAAATAAAAAAAAAAAATCATATTCAAAAGAGTGAAAGAGAGTAAGTGAAAAATCCTTGGACATTGTATTTAGTCACTTTGATGTACTCTTTTTGTTAAATTCATTACATCAATGAATCAAATGAAGAATGAAGTCACAACGGTAAACATGTAAATATGTAAATCTCTGATAAAATCAATGACACGATAGTAGAAAAGGGGAAGTGAAAACATGGTAAAAAAATACCATCATCAAAGCAGTAAATTGCGATAAAATACAGGGTGTCATTCCAATTTTGTTGATATCCTTTAAGTTTTAGAGATAATAACAATTTGAATCGAATTAAATTTGATTTAATTTTTTAAATAATAAATAATATTATAAAATTTTAAAATTTAATTTAAATTTGAATTGATTATTTTTAAATTGATTCAATTCGAATTGAATTTCATTAGTTTAATTTGATTCGATTTATTAATTTTTAAATTTTAAATATTTTGGTTTTTTTTATACATTATTTTAGTAAAAATTTTAAAATATTTAAATAGATTTATATATAAAATAATTATTTTTATTTTATAAAATTTTTAAAAATATATATAAATTAATAAAAATATATAATTCAATTAAATTTTTTTATTTTTTATATTTTAATTTAAAATTTGATTCATATTTAAAATATATATTTAATATCTGAATTTAATTGAAATCAAATAAAAAAATTAATCTGAATCAAATTTAATATCATAATTTTAAATAATTTTTTATTTTTTCGATTTGTACCCTGAAGGGAAAGATAAGAGGGAAACTTAGAAATGAAAAGTATGCAGACATGATTGAAGAATTCCCAGTTTGAAATCCCAAACTGCAAATGAGAAAGTTTGAAGTTTGAACCGTTAACATAACGGCAAAAGAAAAAAAAAAGGCCCACGGAAAACCTAAGGCAGAGCAGAGACAGAACATGACAAGCTGCACAGTTGAAACAGTGACACATCATGAACATGACTGGTGTCCGTCCAAATGTCCCCACACCTCAGTGGCCTGCCGCTGCATTCTCAGTCCTCACCACGTGGGCCGGTGTTCCGATTCTTATACAAAGAAAAGAAAAAAAAAAAAAAAACGCACTCACCCATATCTAATAAATTATTACTACTAACTTTATTAGATAATATAATATTTTTACGAATATAATTTTTTTGTAAAAAAAATTCAAAAATACATAAATGGTTTAATTTTTAAAGTTAAATTAAAATGCACGATATCCAATAACTTAAAAAATAATAATTATAAATTATGTATTTAAAATTATTGATTAAATTTAAATATAAATTAGTTATAAAAAATATTTTATCAATTAAGTTAATTTTTTGTTTATTTTTTATGAGTATAATCCAATATATATATTATATAAAAATTATATAAACAAGTTACTACATATATATTTATGTGAATAATTTTCTTAAATGACACATAAGATAGTATTTTAAAAAAATAATTTTTTTAATTATAAATTAGATAATTTTAAAATTTTTTCAAATATCAAAATTATTTAAATTATAATTAAAAATAAAATCAATTTAGAGATATATTTTGTAAAATAAAAAATATGAAATATGTATTTTATTTTTTATAAATAATTTTAATCAAATAACCTTATTTAAAAATTATTTAATTATAAAAAATTTTCAAGCATGTTTAAAAATTATAAAAATTAAGTTTATCCAAAATTTTTAATAATTTTTGTATCTTAATTTAAAAAAAAATTATCTTTTTAAAAAATTAACGTAAAGCATTAAAAATTCAAGTAATTTTATGTAAGATTTTAAAAATTTAAAAAATTTTCATCTTAAATTTTTAAATAATAAGATAATCAAAACTATTATATCTATTTAAACTCTAATTATCAAAATTATAGTTCAAATAAATGCCAAAATTTTAATATTATCTTTATCATTTATTATATTTATTTTAAATTTTAAAAACAAATTTAAAATTATCTATTTAATCCTAATTACTACCAAAGATTTTTTATTTACAAATTTAAGACTATAAATGTAATGTGTTATACGTTAATTTTTTTATTTTTTTAATAATTTTTTTAAGATATATTATATTACTATTACAATTTATTTTTTTTTGTTTATAACTTTTTTTCAAGGTATATTCTATTAATATAATTTTTTTATTTATAACTTTTTTCAAGATATATTTTATCGTTATCATAATTTCATTCTTATGAAAAATAATATTTTTTTAGTTTTTTTCACATATTTTTTTAATATTTTTCATATCTTGCATAATAATTTAGTCAATATTATTAAAATTAAAGTATGTTAATACTTTTTTATTATTTAATTTATCATTTAATAATATATATTTTTATTTTTTAAAAAATACATATTTTATTTTATTTGATATAATCTTATAAGTATATAAATATTATTGTAAATAAAAATATTCAAAAACATAATTTTTTTTATTGTTTTTTAAAAAATATTTTTTAATAACAAAATAATATATATAAATTTTATATATATTATGAGTTTTAAAATTTTAAATATAATTTAAAAAATTAATTTATATATTTATATATATTTATATTAAATAAATAAAATTATTTTATGTACGCATAAATTATAATCTAGTTATTACATAATGCATGCAACTATTATGGAAGCACAAATTCAAATGACTGTACGAACAAAAAGAAATTCAAATGACTTTGTCTGCGACAGGGTACACTTGAGGTGGTAACGGTGAGAAGAAATAGTATAAGACTAATAATAAATTTTCCCGAGTCTTTAACATACCGACCCAACAGACACAACACTCTCTCAGACAAGTTTTCATACGCGCCCCTGATAATCCTCTGTGCTTTTCATTTTTTGTTGCAAGATTTTGTTCTGTCTTTTTTTTTTTTGTTATAGCCCAGTCGTTGTTCCGTGTACAACCAGTTCACTTGTTAAAGGCCCCAAAAAAACCAAAAAGAAAAAAAGTTCAGTTCTTAACAAAAAAACCTAAAAAGCACCTCGATTTTGGAACTAGGTTGTGTTCAGATCTTGGATTAGAGCCACAGATTCCAACAAAAATATCATTTCTTTTTATTTTTTGACTTTGAAGTTATAAAGCCAAAGCCCAAGGTGAATATAATTCATATTTTCTTCTTATTTTAATTGCTTTGAATTTTTTAAGTTGAGAGCAAAGTTCGAAATTTTCATCGGTTTTTTTATTATTTATTATCTTTTTCTGTTTTTACTCTACCTTGGATTCCGGTTTTTATGAAGAAAAGTTCGTTGCTTTTTTGGAATCTGCGCTTAACTGTTTATGGGTCTCTGCTTAATATTAAAGTCTGAAGTCTCAGGTGTTTTCAAAGTAGCTCACTCAAGTTTTCAATTTTTGAGGGGGTTTTGGTTTCTGGGTGTTAAGGATTTCTCTGGTTCTTTCAGTTCAAGCTGAGTGTTGGGTTTGTCAGTTTGGTTTTAAATTCTGGGTTTTGTTGGGGTAATGCTTTTGATGCTATTTAGTGAGAGGGTTCAGCTTTGGGGTTGTTGCTTTGTTGGTTTCTTGGTTTTAACCTTGAAGAATTTTTGTGTTAAAAGTAAGGTTTAGAAAGGTTTTGGATTGGGGGCTTATCTCTTAGCTTTGTCTTTGCTTCAGTTTTTGCAGGTTGGGTGTGATTTGAAGTTGTCAGCTTAAAAAAATTTATATCTTTTAGTCTTTGGCCACTGGATTTTGAGAATTTCAGTTTCTTAATTGTAAGCTGTGTTAGGTTTTAGCTCTAGTATACTTGTTTCAGCTTAGGGAAGGGTTTAGGTTTGTGCTTGGGTTCTTAAGTTAATAATTTAGCTTCAATTTCAAATTATCGTGTACTAGGATTTTGCTTGAAGAGTTGGGGTTTAAGATTCTAATTAGGTTTTTGATTTGGGAATTGTTTGTTTGTGTCAGCTTGAGTTCTTTGGGCTTTGGAAGCTTTCTGTTCTTGGAATTGGTTTGGGGAAAATTTAAGTATTCTATCTTTTGATTTTTGGGTGACTCGATATTTCAAGAAGGTTACTTTGTTTTCCTTTGCCAGGTTCAATTTCTTGGTGTTTTCATGGATTCACCACAGTCAGTTGTCTCACCATTCAAGAGCTCTGTTGTAGCTGAGCCTGAGAAGCAGATTTCCGAATTTTTCACTAGGAACTCTGGTGGCTTATCAAATGGTTCCGAAACTAACAGAAACGAAACTGTTGTGTCCAACCAAGATAACTTCATTGGTGTTCTTGAGGTTTATGTTCATCAGGCAAGAGACATCCATAACATCTGCATTTACCACAAGCAGGATGTCTATGCTAAGCTTTGTCTCACCAGTGATCCTGAAAGCACAGTTTCCACCAAGATCATTAATGGTGGTGGGAGGAATCCAGTGTTCAATGAAGATCTTCGTCTCAATGTTCGAACTGTTGATTCCTCTCTCAAAATCGAGATATTCATGATGAGTAGAGTGAGGAACTATCTTGAAGACCAGTTGCTGGGGTTTGCATTGGTGCCACTGTCTGAAGTACTCCTCAAGAATGGGAAATTGGAGAAGGAATTCTCTCTTTCTTCAACTGATCTGTTACATTCACCTGCTGGTTTTGTCCAACTGTCTCTTGCATATGCTGGATCATCTCCTGAAGTAATGGCTATCCCTGCAATGCCTGCAGATTTGGTTGCTGATGAGATCGTGAAAGATTCAGAAACAAGCGAGTGTGAGTTAGAAAAGATTGAGTTTCCAGATCCAAAAATTGTGAATGAGAACCAGATGATGGTTTCTGAGTATTTTGGGATCCCATGTTCCAATATGGACTCTGAAAGTTCTGAAAGTTTGATCACCTCTGATGCTGAGAATCAAGTTAATTCAGAGATGGGTGTTGATGTAGTCAATTCCATCCAAGTTCCAAAGATTGATTCTCCTCCAAGCAGCGTGTCAACTAATGGGGTTTCATCTCCATCAGCTGCTGCAAGCTCTGAGTCCTCTGATGGTCCAGCTGCTTCAAAAGCTTCTACTCAGGAAGACATATCAGCCCCAAAAGAGAAAACTGTGGATGCTGGAGATGCTGACAGTGATTCCTCTGGGGCACAAAGTGATTCCATTGCAAAACCTGTTGTTTCTGTCAATATTGAGCCTGAGCAGAAGGTGGTGCAGCAGGAGATAGTGGACATGTACATGAAAAGCATGCAGCAATTTACCGAGTCATTGGCTAAGATGAAACTGCCTCTGGACATTGACAGTGGACCAACTAAATCAGAGAATTCAAGTACTACAACTGATCAGAAAATACAGGCATCAAAAAACACGGGCTCTCGGGTGTTCTATGGAAGTAGGGCTTTTTTCTAAGCTCCTTGTTCCTCTGTTCAAAGGAAGACACACAGGTGACTTTAGATTTTAGAGTGGAGACTGGAGACTAATACTAGTAGTTGAGTGTAATAATGTATCATGTAATGTGTTGTTTTCCTTTGTACATCGACATGCTTTAGATGAGGGGTAAAATCATGACTTGTACTGTTACTAGCTATGTTCCATTGCAACTTCTGTTAGTATATATGAACCTTTCCTTTTATATCATGTCTTCCTTCTGCTGATTTCAACTTCCAATAATTGCAAATCACATTCCATCTATCTAACGACAGTCTGATTATGCATGTAATCAGATTGATAATTGGTCCCACTTTCACATGGTGATTGGAGGCAAAAAGGGCAAACCATCCAAAATTTTGCTTTTGCCTGTTCTGTATAATTAGATTCAAGATATCACTGAACTTAAATTTGCTTTACATTTTCCATCATAAAATGTGCTTACAGGTTTCTTTGAAATTTAAGGAAGCTAATCAGTTTTGTCATTCTAATATGCTGAAGTGCTGTGTAACATTGAAGTTATTATAGCTTAAACAAGGGATTACAATTTATTGACTCAATCCTCAAAGTGAGAGAAAACTAGTTTTTCAGAACAATCAGAAAAGAAGTTGAGGGATAACTAGATAAAAAATAAGAAACCATTTTATTCCATGTACATGAGCAAATTTTAAATAGGTACTTCAATGATTTCATTTGCTCTGATGGTCATGTGCCTTCTGCAGATCCATGCAATATGTCCATCATCCCTATATCTCACCCTCCATAGCCCAAATTTATCAGCAATATCCTTTCCAGTTGAGCACCTCCTGTCCCTTAAAAAGTCCACTACCCATTGTTGTGCTGATCTTAGATCTTGCTGAATATCTCCAGTCTTGTTTCTGTTTCGGATTCCATTTATTCGTCCCATTGCTGCAGTTCCAGCAGCTCCAGCAGCAACTGCTCCTGCTGCTCCATACATTAGGGAAGAGTCAGCGAGATGGGCAACTTCCCTGCTTAAATCTGGTATCATATTTCCCATCCCGGCTGCTAAATGTGCACCAATTTTGAGGGCAAATGTTACTAGTTTCATGAACTTTGTCATGTATGGAGCTAAGCACTTTACAGTTGTGTTATCAATGTGCATTACTTCACAACCAACCTGATCTTCAACAACATGCATTTCTCTCCTGAATTCACACAACATGTGCAGCCGAAGAGCAGTCATGCCAGAAATGATGGTGGTTACCAATCTCCTCGAGTAGTTTTCTGTTCTCACAAAATAGAACATGTTGGGTACTCTCCGCCCTTCGATTTGAACATTAAAGTTCACGAGGTAGTTCACTTTGCGATGAAGCTCAATTAGAAGTCTCTGCTCATAATATCTCAGTCCCTGAATCTCCTGTTTCAGATCTCTTATTTCTTGTTCAATGATCTTTAATCTCTGCAACACTGTTTCCACTCCCTTGGCTATTCCGCCAAAAGAAGGATCAACTTTGTCATTTTCAACAGCATTGGACAAAGAATTCTCTGCTTCATCTGGATTATTTTCTGGAGGAACTTGCAGTTCCACGGCAAGGTTGTACAGGTCATGATATCTTCGGTGCAGTACTTCCCGGAAATCATCATCTGATAGTAGGTCTCGAGCTAAATCAAAACCAGCTCTAAGAATTGATCTGCCTGAATCTGACACTGAATCCCAGGTGTGCTGATAATCGTACATGCTTTCAGCTGGAACTGAAAGTAATGCTTGTTTAAGCTGTTGAAGAGTCACAAATTGGGATTTCCTGTACCTTGGAGGAATCAGGTTTTGCACACATTCTGGCCTCATGATATTTTCAATCAAAGTTACACCATGGCAGAGGCTTTGAATTGCTGGAACTATGAGCTGTTGGATAAGCCTGAGTGTTTCTGTCAGGTTCTTGGTGGAGCAGGCAAGGATGTCAATGTAGTAACCCAACTGTCCTCCAAGCTCTACTCTGATATGGATACCATTGATATTTATAGAAATGAGGTATTTCTCAAGGCTATAAGTAGCTCCATGCTGGTTCTTCAATGCCATGAATCTATTATGAAGGTGCACCTGTATTTGCAAACAGTTAAATTGGGTGGAAAATTAAGACTGACATAATTCTAGGACCAGTTCTCCCTCAGGCATTATCATTAAAAAAATCTTCCTTAAACACATATTCTCATGGTGTACATATATCTGTTCTGTTCATTCATTAATTGTTTATTACGGCTAGCATCAAAAGCACAGCTAAATACTAAAGCCTGATTCTGTAGTCTTATTCAAATTCTAGATAATAACGCTATTAGATGGAATAGATTCTAAACAAAAAGCTTAATATGCGAAAGAGCAAAGAAAAAAAAGGCAGAAAAGTGAGATAAGGTAAAACTCTTGCCTGTAAACGTGGAAAGAAGCCTGGTGTAAGAAACATATGGCTTGAATCATCACACTGAAGATGTCTCCCTGCATAAAGGCAATCAGCACTGCTTAACTGCCATCTCTGCGGTTTTCCTCTGCCTTCTTCAAGAATCGAGGGAATCAATAGCAGAGAATTTGGATCAGATGGGTCTTGTTCATAGCATAGTTCAAGCTTCATCATCATTTTTACAAGGTCATTGGCCTCTAAGTTCTCAAACACCTTAGAACCCATTCCTGGAATATGGCTTTGTAAACTTCCTCTTAGAATCTTCTCCAACTCTTTCCTGCTGATGAATCCATTCTCTGCTGAGGTTTGCCTTCTAACCTCTAATTTTATCAGTTGACTGAGCACTTCACCACAAAACCACTCACAATCCAAAATTAGGAAGCCTAATTCATCAAAATATATCACCTCACCAATATGGTGAAGACAAGTAGCAACAGCCCTCCTCCTCATTTCGATTTTCTCCTTATTATCATGTCGAGAGCGAATCCTAAGAGGTGGGACTTTAACCTGGCATAGCTCAGCAAACTCTTTCCACTTCATAGCTGGCTTGTTATAGTTCTCTGATCTCCAATCAGATAAAATTTGTATAAGATCATTGCAAAGCTGATAAACCCGAGGAACTCTTTGTAGAACAGTCTTGCTTGTTTTTTGAATGTGATGGGTGAGTTTACTGACTGAAGCAGATGATCTTGCATCAACAGTAAACACAGTTGGATAGAAATCAACATAGCCATTAAACTTGTCTCTTAATTTTTGTATTGAATTCACCGTGGCCTGCAAGTTCTGGGATGTTTGATTGACTTTGTCATAGTGTGTGAGGACTACTGCTACATTCGGTAGCATGCACTGCTGGACCGCCCTTTTTGAGTTGGAAACAATAAACCTGAGCCAATATTGAAGGTCCTCTTCAATCTCCATTGGAGTCTTTTGTTCTCTGTTGCTTGGTTTCCTGAATAAACTCGATATGATGAGGAAAAATGATGCACTCCCATGCCCCGGAAACATGAGATCATGAAGAGAATAGAACTCATGCTGACCGGCAAGATTCCATATTGATATCTTTGTGTCTTCATCTTTGAAAGTCTTTATCTTCATCCCAACCGTTCTAACAGCTTGTTCAACTGGATTTACTAGGGTCCTCACTTGTTCAATGTAGGGAAGCTTTGAAGTAGAGAAATTCTGTGATATTGAATTGCAAAGTGTTGTCTTACCTGCAAAGAACAATTAAAGGAAATGATTATCTTTGATCTCAGCATTTGAGTTCTTAAAGCAGAAAGGTCAAGTTTGGTTAAACTCACCGGCATACTCTTGGCCACAGAAGAATACCCTGCAGCTCTTTGGCTCAGTAAGTGGCATATCCTTGAGCAAATCATTTTCAGGTTCAGGTTCAGTCTTCCCATTCTGACCCAACCTTTGATAAATTGCATCTGCCTTCCCAGTACTATGCAGTGGTGTTCTAGCAAGATCAATATCTTCGATCCAAGGATTTATTTGTACTGTCTCCATTATTGCCTGCAACACCCTCTCCCCTCTAACACCTTTGCAACCTTGTAAAGACAAGCACCTCAAACTGGCATTCTTCTCTAAACTCTTGAAGATTCTGAAAAAATCATCTGGTCTCATACTCTGATCATCAACAATTGCTAGCCGAGTTAAAGTTTCATTTGTTGTTAACATCTGCAAAATGGCTGCAAGACCATCTCTTCCTATTTTTGTTCTACTACCTCCAAAGGTCAGAGACCTTAGTGTAATGTTGGCTTGGAATTGCAAAGCTGAGAACCTGCTCAAAGGGCAGAGTAGATGCTCCACACCTACCCCACTGAACCAGTTTCCATCAAGATGCAAGCGTTCCAAATGCCTGTTCTTGAATAGTCCAGCTGCTACATACACAACTCCCTTGTCTTTAAGGCAAGTTTTTGACAAGGTTACCTCTTTCAGGCTTTGATTCTGCTCCAAAACCCACCGAAATTCCTTAGCCCACCGGGATTTCAGCCGTACTCCACTCATATCAAATGATGTAACAGTTGAATTCAAACCAAGAGCACAAGCAACCCGGCAAGCACCCGAAACATCGATCCTGTAAATTCTAAGTGTGCTATTGTCAGGCACAAACTCAACCACCTTGGAACTTTTATCTCCACTTTCTCCACTCCATACATGGACTTCCACGGCTCTATTCCTTGCTAAAACAGCAGATATAAGGGGGGTCGCTGTGATCGAGCTTGAGTCGAAAATTGTCAAAAGCTTCAGCATTGAGTTTGCTTCAATCATCTTTGAAAGCTCCTCAGCACCTTTTGATCCAATTGAGTCTTCCCATATCTGTAACTCTTCCAAGCTATCATTCACCTTAAGAGCTGAAGCAAGAAATGTAGCACCTATAGTCCCAATATGTGATTCAGAAAACATAACCTCTTTGATAGCTCCATTTCTCTTCAAAATATCAGAAAACTCTGATAAGCAATCTGCATTGAATCTGTTCCTCCGGAACATGAGTTGCTTGATGTTCAAGTTACTGTCTAACAACTCTCCAAGATTCTGAACTTGTTGTAATTCCCATTCAACACTGTGAAACTCCAAATTTCTAAGAGACAACAAGGTGTTTTGGGCTGGTCCTAGCATTATAAGAATGAGGGAGAAGTATTCAAGGCAATCTGTGGAAATGTTTATGTTCATGGAATTTTCTGTTTCTTGATAACAGCCAGAAACAGGTTGAGAAAGGTAGAAGGAAATGCTGTGTAGGTTAAGGCTTTCAGATTCAAAAGCCTGCAGAACCCATTGAAGATCTCTGAACTTCTGGTTTGATGCCATGTTTCACTCTCAAACTCCCCCAACAAAGGAAGCAAAACTTGTTTTCTTCAGAAAAACTTTATAAAATCTCCCATAATGTTGAAGCTGGTCTCATGATATTGACATTCTTGTTCATATGCTACAGTGTATTTTGAATTTTGATGCAATTTTCTGTCATATTCTCTCCTTCATTCCAAAGTTATTCTTTGCAACAATATGGTTCAAAAGTATACTATTAGTCTAGTTGGCAAGAAAAGATTTTCTTTCTTTGTCAGGTAGGGTTAAACAGTACAGAAAGAGTGTATATGTCATTAAAAGAGATTAAGTCTCAGCAAAGCTTGACTTAGATTGATAATATTGCTAACAAAATATCTTTACATTTTTTTCTAATCCATGTGTTTCACTTGATCGTGGTTCATTAATTAAGTAATTTCCTTGGTTTAAGTAAAGTTTTAAATAAGATAAAAGGTGGCACTTTCTTGCAGGTGTAAATGGAGGCCTACAATCTTTTGACTTTTTTTTAGCTTTGTTCTAACTTTCTTACTCTTTCTTCTTTCTCGTTGTAAGAGAATAAAGAATCCAATAAAGCAATGAAGAAAAAGGCAGTTGAGCATAGGACAAATTAACCTGTTTTTAAGGGATTTTCATTATCCCAACAGGGCAGCAGACAATCCCATTGAAGTTTGATTTTTTTGTCACTTAAGACATGTTTGGACATTCTCTAGAAATTTTTTAATGAGGTTTAAAAGTCTCTTAAAGATTAATTATAGTTTTATCCAGCGACCAAACATACCCCACTTTGTCCTGGTTAATCATGCTCCTCCTGAGCCAATATATATTTCCTGGCAGCAACTTGTAAAATTTTATGAATTATTACCACATGCCTCGAGGGATGTGCAAATGGCCAACATGTGAATTTGCGGTGCAATCAGCGCCATAGAAAATTTTCTGCTGAGCTTGGACACCAGTAAATGTCATATTCATGGGGAAAAACAGAATTATCCCCACTATTCCCATGGATGATTTTGCTTTTCTTAGGGAAAACTGAGAAAGTAGAATTGTAAATGCTGAAAATTGAACAAGTATGACTACCAATTAATGTTCTTGATGATCTGAATAATTTGACACAAGCAACTTGCTACCATTTTCTTGAGACTTTATATATATATATATATGTATATATATATATATATAATTAAACAGCTGATGTTTTTGCATTAATTATTTTACAGAAATATCCAATTCTAGATATTATATCAGGTTTTGCCGACTTTCTGGCAGTATGAGTTTGTATGGTGAAGTCATCATTCAAGATCCATCATCCATGTTTGGTCATTCATGGGCACCTGCACTTTTTTTTTTTTGGACAGATATTTATGAACAAAAGTAGATGGACAAAGAAAAGAACGCAAACGGGAAAAGATTTCCTCCTTTTTTCATCATGAAAGATTCTGTTCTCTCACTCAGCCCCAAACAACTGGACCCAAATGGCCTTGGGCCATACCCCACCAAAAAATTTTTAAGCTGATGTTATGATTCTATTAGCTTTAAGTGGAAAATGGAAACCCACAAAAAGTGATTTGGGCTAGTGGCAGCCTCCTAAAATCCACGTAACAAAAAACCTTCCAACAAGTTCAGGTTCATTATCAGAGGACAAAATGCCATAAAACTTCACATAATGGTAAAAGAGGACCACAAGCATGGTAGTATCTATTTTTGGGTGCCACTATAAAAATTCAAATGAAAGTGATTTGAAAACCCCAAGCAAGACATATCCAGTTTTCTAAGGAAAGTATGGATAAGAGCTCAGTATGGCCACAGATTGGCCATTGAGAACAAATAACTGAAAGTTATATCAGCAGATGGAAACCTCTGAAGAATACAAGTAGAATGGAAATTAATGCAGCATTTTAGCTTTCCAGACAAAGAGAACAGTCCAAATTTCAATCATATCGGTATGTCAACCATAGGAATCAAGTTTCTCATAATCTAATAGCTTGCAGATTATCTTCATGTTCTTTATATAACAGTATCAAGAAAAGGAGATATGTTGAATGCAAGCTCGCAACTGATGGAGAGCTTAGCAGCAAAATCAGACAGTTATTACATATACTATGAGTAAAGTTGTTTGATGTAGTGTTTAATAAAAAAAATGAATCAGAATGTAATGTAACTTATTTGATTGGGATTTTATATGGGATATCTCTCTACTGTTTCACACTAGTAAATTGAACAGAAACTCCTTACAATCTGAGAGAAAAACAATCCCAGATAACATGATAATATAAGGACAAGAACTGGCAACTCTGCAAGGCATTACAGCAGCTGAAAAAAATTTAAAAAGAGAAAGGGAAAAAAATTAATACCCTATTGTTTGATGTACCACTACTGGCATGCCTTGCTGGAGATGCATGGTACATTAATTGGAACCAATCTTCCAGAGTATATATCCCGCAATCAGATTGTACACCTCACTCAAATGCCAAGAAAGGAACCTAAATTTTCACTATTAAAATAAAATTAAAAAAGGTCAAATCTCAAACCTTACAGAAAATCCCTTGTAACTGCTCACTCTGAATGTGTATATTTCAAATCAATAACCCTCGTTAGTGCTATAAGATCAATTTCCTTGTAAGCTGATATAGTAATGAGGCAGTCGTATCAGATTCACAAATCATTCACCTGTTTGCACAAATTCATTCACCCTACATTATAACTTCTGATATTCAAATAACAGGTCTCCTAGGCAGCAATTCCTGAATAAGAAACAAAAAAACGGTTGTATTAACAAATACAGCAAGCTTCCATAAATAAATGCTCAGAATCAAGCTCAGGTATCCGGATGTAAAAAAATTTTCCTTCAGTGATTCAGTCCTATGCGGTACAGATTAAGTTTGATTTTAAAGTTAAATTTCCCTACTGATTTGTTCTGAGTTATTTATGCTGACATCAAGTTCATACAGGCCCCAAAGAAAAGTTCAGATGAATATTCATTGATGCAAAGTGTTAAAAAAGCAAGCATAAATGTGGGGAGGTTGGATAAAATAATTGACACTCATGGATTCTATCATGGTACCACAAGTAAAGTAAACAGTAGATTCAGAGTCCATTCCAAAAACAATTGTTAAATAGGCAAAACAAATATGACCTCCCTTTTAAATTCAAACTCCATGAACTTAAAACAAATTAGTTCCGCCTTATACTAATTGCTTTATATTGATTCCCTCTGCTAATCAGATGCCACAGACAAGTTTATGTTAGGGTACCTAATCTCGTAGATGCAAAAACTAAGGAAAATTTCTAGTATCAATGAACTATGACCGCAATTAAATTCCAGCACAAGGATATTTTCATCTAGAATCAAGAAAGTTCAACTGAAACCTTCAAGTTGAAAGTAGTTATTCCCATCCTAGTGAATCTTGAGTAAACCTAACCTAAATTCAGAAGCTATTTCTTAAGGTCCATTTAATGAAACTAAATAGAACATTACCTCTATTGGTCTGTCCGCTTGCAACACTGTAACTTCCAACATAATCCTCAGAGGTCCTTGCAGTAACATCTGAGGATATATTGCCAAGCCCATAAGTGAACGAGCTAGAACCAATCAAGTCAGGATTTGCAGACCGCCAAGTAGAGTCACCATATACTGAACCACTGCGGTAAAGATCCCCATAGGACCCTTCAAAATTACCAGTTGACCCAGCAAATGATGATGTTGGAGCTGCAACAGTACCAACGTTTCTTCCATATCCTCCCCCTCCCAAACCATAGTTGTCATCAGCACTCCCACCAGTATAGACAGAAGCATTCCCTCTGCTTTGCACCGGAGGAGAAGGGCTCCAATTAGCCCCACTATTTCCTAAAGAACCAAAACTCCCACTTCCTGTCCCCAAGTAACCACTAGGGCTGGAAGCATTTGTGGCATTGCTAAGGCCTCCATTTCCCCAGACATTTCGAGTAGCAGAGTTCAAAATAGAATCATTTCTTCCACTTCCGACACCATATCCAATAGGAGTGTTATACCTGTTTGAATTCCCACTGTAATAGGGGCTAAATATCCGCCCATATCCAAGATTGTTACCAAAGTTGGAACTTCCACCATAGCTTGGGCTCATTCCTGGTTCCATATTCATACCTATTCCATAGCCAGTTGTACTAAATGGAGGAAACCCGCTTCGACTACTAGCAAGAGGATTAAACCTACCATCCATCCTGACTCCAAAGCCTCCAAGTGGGCTTAGATTATATCCCTGAGCATAATTATTGAGAAAGTTGGCAGCCCTACTCAAACCATAATTATATCCAATCACAGGGCTGCGGCTGGGGCCTGGAGATAGTTCTTTAGGAACTGCCCTCTTGACCTCAACCAATTTCCCATTGAGTTCGTGAAATGTTTTATGCAGGACTCGATCTACTGCTTCCTCTGAATCATAAGTGATGAAGCCGAACCCTCTCGGCCTCTGGGTGTTATGATCATACATCACCACAACATCAGTAATTGTACCAAACTGATCAAAGTAGTTCTTAAAGTCACCCTCAGTGACTGTAGATGCTAAACCTCCAACAAAAATCTTTTTTGTGCGTCCAGGGCCGGGAGATCGAGTGATGACACTCATGCTCCTGTTTAGAATGTGTTGATCTTCCCTAGGAACAGCCTTCTTCGCCTCAACCTGAAAATTGAGCAGTCAGCAAGTTTAATCAAACAATTGCATCACATTTTCTGTCCCAACCTAACAATTGGATAGAAATGCACTGAAACAAAATCATATTAAGTCAATGCCACAAAATAGTTCAAACTCATCACTTTGTGTCCACAGAAAGAAGAAATGTCGGCAAACTTTAACTCACTGTGATTATCACAAAACTCAAATTAATTGAGGATAAACAACATCCCTCCTCTATAGGCATTTTCTAGTAGTACTTTAGACAGAAGGAAAATATAAATTCCCAATTAAATCCGTAACGTATAAAGGATAATCATAATCAAGGCTCTCACCGTGCGACCATCAATCATATGCTTATCCATAATTACCCTCTCAGCGACAGCAGGATCAGCAAAGACAACGAAACCAAAGCCACGGGCACGACCTGTGACACGATCTCTCATGATCATTGCTTCCACCACTTCTCCATACTTCCTGAAATACTCCTTGAGACGTTCCTCATCAGTGTCCCAAGATATCCCACCAATGAAGAGTTTACCAAGATCTGATTCCATCTTATCTGCAGTCACCATCATCAACCACCAAATTTCAATCCCAAAATGAAAAATCTCAACTTTTCTCATAAAAAAGTAGCACAATTGGATTAAAAGATTAAATTTTCAAGTTCAAACAGAATTATATCACCAATTCACCAAATGAAACTCTTTCACAAAAAGCCAATCCTGAATTACCCAATTATCATCAGCAGCTGCTAAAAAGGATCCATCTTTATATAGAAAAACAAACCAAAACAGATCAAAATGTGAACAATAAAACAATCAAACAGGAAGGTTAAAAGAAACAACATACCCTTTGATATGAATTATAGACAGAATCTGATCAAAGACACAGTGGGTAGTTCTCAAATCTAATCTAGGATCATCTGAAAATTTCATGCACCAATCAAAAAACAACCCAAAATTCCTGACAATAAAAAAAATTGGAAATTGAGACCAAATTATGTGGATCAAGACAGAGGAAAAGTCTTTAGAAAGATCAGGAAGCAGAGAAAAACAGAGAGGAGGAAGAAGAAGAAAAAAGATTGAAACTTTACCATCTTGGAAATGACCCAGATTAGAAAATGGGAAGGAAATTAAGATCTGAGATGAGATATGATGACAATGGAAACAGAAGAGGAGGTATTGTTCATTTTTTTATTATCCTTTTTCTCTTTAAAAAGGCTTTTTCTCTCTTCCCCTCTCTCTCCTCCTCTGTTTCTTTTCTATCTTTCTTGGTTATTCCACTCCTCTTAATTAAATCAAAAGAAAAGGAATTGGAGGAGAGAGAGGCAGATAGAGAAGAGAGAGAATATATGGAGAGAGAGATAGATTAAGATTGGCAATCGTCCGGTGTAAGAATATTTGGAGTAGCCTAAGGAGTAATGGCAGGAGATGGTGATGCTTGTTTTTCAAAGAAAATTAATAGTAAAAAACTTTATTTTGATTTTTTGAAAATTTTTTTGTAATGTTTAAATCAACCAAAAAACAAAAAAACGAGCATATCACATACCTATTCCTTGCTTGGATTGCATGTCAGAACCAAATTATGTTTCAACTTTTACATTTTTAATCATGAAACAGACTTTTGGACCACTTTTTTAGACCTTAAATTTGCATTATTTTATGACAAATTATATCAATTATTAATTTTTTGGGTACTTTTTTTATAGGAAATATATTTTCAGACAGGCTGGTTCAAATTTTTGGCATGCTGTTGTTGTCCAAGAGTTCATGTTACAGTTAACCTTACGGTTTAGAATGAGTCTGGCTGGCTTGAGACCACACATAAAACTAGTGGAGTTACAACCTACAGGTTAGTTCAATCATCAATGCTTATTTTATTTTTCTGCTTTTCCTTTTTTTACTCTCAAAAAACACTAAAATGGGATAACGCAACATCGTCAAACTATTACAATTTCATGACAATCGTCATGTCTGGTTCTGGATTGTTTAATTGAAGTCTCTAAAAAGTTCTCTCTTAAAACTCTTGAAACAACATTGAGGATTGAGTTCTAAAATCCAAGTACAATCCTATGTTTTGTTTTGTTTTGTTTTGTCAGATTTGATGCATTCACAAGTTAAGCTTTGATTAGACAGATACCAAAATCAACAACTAAAAGGATTAAAAGGTAATTAAATCTTGATCTGCCATTGACTTCATTTCTTCTCAACTCTCCCCCATAAAGCCTAAAACTTGTTGCTATTAAATTAGTGGTGTAAAAGAACAACAACAGATAAGCCAGCTCAATGATGCAAAATCGATTTCTTAACCTTTGATCTAAACCTTAATTTCAATGTTAAACTACGTGTTTCGATATGTTCAATGAGTGTTCTTGGATGCATTGATTTTTTTTTCTAATTTTCTAATATTGGTAGAACAACTTTTTGCAGTTAGACTGGCATATATTTTATTTGGTGTAAGCAGAAAGCAAGGTCCATTGATTAATTTAGTTTAAAAGAGAGATTGGTTTGTGGTGAAGATATTTTAGTATGTTTAATGATTTGGCCTGCAATTTTTAAGCATACTATAAGAGAACAACCAATCTAAGAAACTATGCAAGATAAACAATGTTTTCCTCCATTTGGCCAAGATCCAAATAAAATCATATAGGAAATTCAAATATAATGTAGGCCACAACAGTCATTCAGTTCCAAACCAAGCATTACAATTGAAGATTCCAAACGGCCAAACCCCATTGTTTTTGACAGAAAAAAAATTGGGAATGTAAAGTTTCAGCAGAAAAAACTATTGCTTGAGCATGTTTCACATGTCATTTTAAGCTTATTTCAAGACTATATAATTCATGTTTATTGCCTGATAAACAGGTTAGACAGAAATGGAAAGTGGAAGAACAGGAAAGTGTAGTCTGATAAACACAGTTTTCAGCCTGAAAGAGCTGTACATAGGAAATGTCATTGGTAAACCACAGCTACTCTAGATATGTACTTTATCTAGATTGCCATGTTTAAGCTTTGTACTTTCATTTGATTTTCTTTATACTGTAATGACTGCTTACCGGCTTTTATGGTATTTGGCTTGCTTAGTATTAGTAAAAATGAATAAACTTGCTTAGTTTAGCCCAAACTTTCTTTGCTTGGATTAAACAAAAAGAGGATTATCATGCGATGTTTTCTGCTTCTGTCAAGGCCCGAGATGTATTTCGATTAATAAGGGTTAAAAGGTAGCTTTCAGGAAGAAGAAAACGAGACAAGCAAACAAGAGGCAGGTACTTGTAAAGTCTATTATGATAATAACATGACTTATAATTGGAGTCACTCTCCCTCATTATGTACATTGGCTTCTGCCTTCCCTGTAAAAAGGCCCAGATGGATGTCTTATTGAACTTAACATGGAAGTCCTATCTGCTAAACAAACGAACGGTACTGAATTTCTGGTGCTGAAGGGAAAAGGGAATACGAAACATATTGAAGTAGCCACTAATAATTTGATCCTGGAGTGTCCCAAGTCTCAGGTATGACACTGTGAAGTATACAGCATTCCGGGTGGCCTGATTCCCAAGAAGACATAGAAGAAACTGAACGATCCTCGTGTGCAAACAAAGCCTCATCTATCTTCTCTAAGACTTCTGATGCAGTTGGTCTATCTTGTGGTGAATGAGATACACATTTAAGAGCAACATTTAGCAAAGGAAATGCCCACTGCAATGCAGTTTTGGTGACCTCCTTGTCAAAGACCTCTCCAGTCCATTCTTCCCTCACCATTGACCTGACCCACTTAGGAAGGTCTACTCCTGTTTTTTCCACAGTTTTGCCAGTTAGTAACTCCAATAGGATAACTCCGAAGCTGAAAACATCGCCTTGTTCTGATAAACATTTCTCAGGTGCAATATAACCATTGAAGGCGAAGAGGCAATTCTTTTTGGGGTCTAAAAGCCTTGAAATCCCATATTCACTTATTAATGGTTCCATGTTTTCACCCAACAATATATTTGAGAGCTTTAGATTTCCATGAGGAATGCTCTCCTCATCCTTGGAACTCTGATATATGAATGCCAAACCCCTAGCAATTCCACTTGCTATAGTCAGTCTAAGTCTCCATGGAAAGTCTCTTTTACCCTCAATGTATTCTACAGGTTAACAAGACAGTTTTATTAGATGCAGGATAGAAGACATTTTGACATGACAGCTAATTGCAGTCACAAAATTGTTCATTAAATACAAATGAAGATGCATTATTTTCAATGATTTACATGAAGGAATAACAAGATCAAGCAGAGAGAACAGTTCAAATTTCAATAAAGTAACCAAATGGAAACACTTTTGCAGTCCAAAACATTGTCTTATTTTTCTCGTGTTTATATGAAAGAATAATGCAGTTTTGTAATGTTTGAGCACCTCTCACTGTGCATGAGTGAGGTGACTGAGCACAATTGTGCTTGCTGGAAAGTCTAAATAGGTTTGATCACGGGATGACCAGCCTCATTGATCTTAAGATTCTCAACAAACCTTGTAAAAAGTTTAAGAGGCTCCCATTGTTCTGATACTTGTAGAACAGAAGCTTTTCTTCTTCAGTACAATTGTAGCCAACAAGGGGTAGGATATTTCGATGCTTCAAGTTCCCTATCTGCCTCATTGTTTGGCCAAACTCTTCAAAAGACACCTGCAATTTCTTCAATCTTTTGACAGCATAAGTTGTATTGTTCTTAAGTATTACCTTGTAAAGGTTGCTGCATAGGCTCTGGTTTTGTAAATCAGCTGAGGCTTCTAGGAGATCATCTAGTGTAAAGCTTTCATGGTCTTCAACAAAGAACACAAGCTCTTGGTGTTTATCCTCCGGCTTCACTTCCTCTATAGCATTAACAGAAGGAAGTTTGAGAGGCGATTCTTTGAGAGCCGTTAGCATCTCCTTCTCTTTCTTCTTTCTATCATCCCTCCTTCTCATATAGTATAAGAACACGAAGAGGAAGCCAATGCTAAGAAATATGGGCAGTATAGTGGACAATAGGTTGTTTGAATCACTAGAGTCATTTGGGTTTGCTGCAGGTTGTTCATGAACCTGTCCTGTTGTGTTTAAATGACTATCTCTTTTTAGTGCAATTGGTTCCTTGGAATACGTATAAACATGCTTGAATTCGTGTTTGATATGTGGACTGATGGGAGTCAAATGATTGTTAGAGATGTCCAAGCTTTTGAGATATTTTAACTTGGTTAGAGTCCAAGGAACTCTCCCACTTAAAGAATTGCTGCTTAGGTTTAGATACCTAAGCCTTGTGCAGGATGATATCGATCTTGGTATTGTTCCATGTATAAGATTTCTCGCTAAGCTAAGAACTTGAAGGTTTTGGAGCTTGCAGAGGGCATCTGCATCTATTACCCCACTAAGATTCAGATTTTCAAGCCTTATTTCTAGTATGGAGGTAGCCTGCAGATTACACTTTACACCTTCAAACTTATACAAGCAAGGATTTTGTGATAATTCATTCCATTGAGTACCTAGCTTATTTTGGGGATCAACTGATCTAATGAAGCTAAAGAAAGATTTCGATTCATTTAACTCACCTCCAATGCAGACTGTGGTTAATAGAGGAACAATTGCAATGCATATTAGCCCCTTCAGAAACATGTCAAAACCTCCTCTTCTCTGCATCGTTGGACTATTTTCTTTGGTCAACCGAAACTTGCTTAAAGGGTACTTCATAAGGCACCTTGATAGAATCACAATACATCATTGTTCCTCCTTGTTTTGATATAACAGATAAGGACATTTTCAGTCATAGCTTCCAAAGCTTCCTATCTGCATTTTTCCAATAATTTATACTAGCAACATTAATGAACTTTACGTAATCCGTCATCTTCAATGAGATAGTAGACTCATACTAGAATATTACTAAGACATCTTCAACATCTTGCTCACAATCCTTTGGTTGCTGATAACAGTTTGAGCTGTCACAGTCTCTTCTGATAACACTATGTCATAACAGTTGAGGAAATTGGTGACCAACACAATAATCAAGGAGTAAGTGACAAGATATTTGGACAAAAACAATGTCTGTGTTTTGGAACATCCTAATTAACTGAAACCTGGCAGCTTAGAAGCTGTTATTTGTTGGCCTAATTTGGCTTTTCTTTTTTTTTTTTTCACCATGAAAACCATGTGCTGTGAAGCCAAGAAGCAGCAAACATACATTGACAAGCACAATGTAACAGGCAATCAGACATACACAAGTTAACTTCAGTTTTTTTTTTTTTTTTCCCTGTAATAATCAAAGGCTTCTGTTTCCCTTGCAACTTGCAAAAATTCTGGTCCTTTCTCCCATTTCTTTATCATGCATGACTCTGTCAATTCAATTATAAAAAGCAAGCAATTTCCATTTATATGCATGGTTGGTACTATTAGCCTATTACATTCAAGCATCACTGTTCAATTATCAGGGAAAATCATATTGCAAAATATAAAAATGTACACTTTAGAGAATTAAAAAAAAAAAAAAAAAAAAAAACAGGGTTCCATGTTTTATTTAACAACTTTAATTTTATCAGTTCTAACTTCTAGGCTGTCCCAGAAACAGGAAGCTAAGATAAAGCTTCAGAGGCCATATACGAACAACATGATTTTCTTGTCTTTCTTTTATTTAATATACTAGTCATGTTTTTTTTTAAGTTGTTTGTTAATATAAAATTATTAAAAGATTCCAAAACAAAATTAAAAGATTATTTTTTTTAAGATAGAATTTGGAAAATGGAAGCCATGTTTCTACCTTTAGATTTTGCTTTTTGCCTCAAAAGTCAGCCTCATGAAAGTTTCTCCCAAACCACTCATCAGAGGCATATTAAAACTATATATATTCTGATTCTAGTAGATAATAATATACAGAGTAACTAAAATTTCATTTCCTATTCAAATTAACATTTCTCATCCCTATCAAATATTTTAAATTACCCCACCTTCTAATACTGCAATATAAATCCGAAATTTAGTCTAATTGATTCATACAATTATTCTTAAAAAATGATATTTAACAAGTTTTAGATTTAAAGAGTAACACCTATAATTTTTTTTTTTACCTTTTTATAAAAGTATAATTAAATATTAAATGATTCTGTGTTTCTAATGAAAAATAATTTTTCTTTCGTTTAATTGTTTAAATTTGGAATATGGGATTTTTTCTCTCTATGAATTTAGATTTGTTTAAAGGAAATGTGTAAGGTCAGCATTGCACTTACAAACTTTGATGCCAAATTCTGCAATATTTGTTTTTTTTTTTTTTTATTTCTTTTGGAAATGGAAAACTAGTCAGGGCAGATCATGGACAGGCTATATCAATAATTTCCCAACAAATTTGAGTGTGACAGCAATACCAAAAAGGCTTCTTTGTCACCCAACTAATTCCTATAAAAAAATATGTCCTATGTTCCAAGCCAAGAGAGCAACTTTAAATTATTTTGAAAGGTCATTGGCTTGAATGTCATAATCTCTGTAGGTAGGCCAGCTCCTCATCAAAACATGGCATGTTCTTTACAGCTCCATTCAACCCTTTGAATCAAATTATATTTTGCTTTGACTTTACTTCAAATGCAACCCTAATCTCAATTGATCTTTATCTGATAAGTTTTGCAATTTGAACTTCAAAAAATGATTAAAAGATAGAGGAATTCAAGGCTTTACACACACAATCTTCTTTCCATTCAAACTTGAAAATTGTCTGTTTTTGAAACCACTATGTACAAACCAATCCCCAAAAGTCTCTCCCAAGTTATATATATCCAATTAACCTACTTGAAAGAGAGATTTGAGGGGAAAAAGCAATCATTAATTTGGATTTGCATCCAAATCAATCCTAATTACAAAGATTAAAAAGCAATTAATTAAAAATTATACAAAAATCTATGCCTATTTGAGTTCATACTACATATTGATAAGCCTTAGTCAAGAAGAGACTCCATCATCATTTTCATCATCATCAACTTCATAAAAAAATGGATCCTTGAGCAGGTCCGCCGCTGACGGTCTTGCCCTAGGCTGAGCAAGGCATCTCTCAATGAATGCTTTTACATCGGGATCTCTAACCTTGCTCAAGGCTTGAGGCCTCACCCCACTAGAAACTTTCTTGTAAATTTTGGCCACATTGTCACACTCACTATAGGGAATTTCCAAGGTCACCATCTCAAGCACACACATGCCAAATGAGTATATATCAACAAGTTCTGTGTAATGTTCCTCATATAACTCCGGTGCCATAAATTCCGGTGTCCCAAGGATTGAATGTGCTGAATGGTTCTTCCCAACAATGGCAGCCAATCCCAAATCACCAATCTTAACCTATTGAAAATCAAATTGTTAAGATTAATATCACTAAAGGTTGCATCCAAAGTAGCCATCATAAATCATATTCTCTACTCTTATTTTCTTTGCTTTTCCTATCTTAGTTACCAAACATGTAAAAAAAAAACAAAACAAAAGCATACCTGACCAGTGTTTCCATTGACAAAAACATTGCTGCAATTAAGATCTCTGTGAATAATGCAAGGCTCATGAGTATGCAAATAATCCAAGCCTTTCAAAATCTGCTTTGACCATTTCTTCAATGCCTTCATTGAAACTTGTCTATGTTTTTTCCTGTACTCCCTCAGATTCCCAGAAGTACACACTTCAGTTATGAAATTCAACGTGCTATGTTCCTCGTCTCGCCAAACATTGTACAATGAGATTATGTTTTTGTTGGTTAATGATCTTAATAAACGAACCTCCGAATAAAGCCTATCGATCATGGTTGGATCGTTGGAGAAGTTTCTTAGTTTGACTTGGTTCCATGCAACTTCAATGCCTTCTTCTTGATCAAATGCTCGGTAAACCTTTTTTACTGCTCCAGATCCTAGAAGCTCAGTGTAACGACCATAACGACCCGTCGGATCGATCTCGACAAAGGGCTCGGAATCCTTGTCGGACTGGTCTGGATTGACGCTAGGCATCTGCTTATGGAAATCATGCAAAAACATGAGTGAAAAAGAACAAAAAAAAAAAAAAACCAACAATTTTTTTTTCCTTTTGGGACCAAAGTTTAAGGCCTAAACCAATGAAAAACAAGAAAACTTGAACAAAAATAAAAGAAAACCCTTAAAATTATTAGACTTTGCAAAAGATCTTAACATGAAGAGAAGAATCTTAAAAACCACCGATAACCCATAAAACATAAGACAATTATATCATAAAAAACTAAGGTTTCAAGCCAAAAAAAAACAAAAAAGAAAATAAAAAAAAGGGTTTATGGAGAACTCACCATTAAAGAGATATGAGAAGCAAAGACTTTGAACCAGAAAAAAAGCGTAACGGAACACGAAGCATGGAAAAGCTAAAGGGTTTTGAAGAGTAGTATTTATAGTAGAAGTATTTTAGGTTAAAAAATTAGGTGGAATTAACTATGGTTAATTTACATTTACATCAACCTATATAGGTTGGATTAAGGAATTTTGATTTTTTTTTTTAAATTATGATTTTAATTAAGGCTAATGTCGATTAAAATGATATGTATAATGATCAGATTTATAAATGATACAATCAGATTTAAGTATATTAAAACGCGTATATGAATTAAGCAAATATGAATCGAGTTAAGAATTTCGAAAAAATAAAAAATAAAAAATTTGAAAATATTTTAATTTTAATTGCATTTTTTTTTTTTGAGGTTTTGTTTCTTGTATGTTGTAAGTAATAAAGAAGTTGACTTTGGACCTTTTTTATATTGAATGATAACCGTCCATGTAAGCATGTGGGTGCTTTTTGAGTTGGTTGTGGATCAGTTGGACGGTCTAGATGAAACTAGAGAGCTCTAGTGATTGAGGGGAAGAACAAGTCTAATTTCAAGTCTATGACTTTGAATTTTCCATGTTTTTCATTTTGCATTGGTCTAGTTGGAGTGTGTTTGGCTTGCAAGAAAGTTGTTGAAAGAAAATCCAATTTGGTAAAGCAGGAATTATGGGGTTACCAAATATATCAACTGGAACTTACTAAAAGGTAGGATTAGATTCTCCAAAAAGCAAAAAAAAAAAAAAAAAATTATTGATCTTATTTGAATTTAGAGTTTTTTTTTATTAAAAATTATTAGAAATTAAGATAAAATTATCAGATAAATATTAGAGTATTTGATTCAATGAGTAGAACACGATTGAATGTTCAAAAAATAGAATTAAAATCCCTCTTTTCCAAACTAAAAAGATTAAAATTATGGAATGGAACATGATCATAAAGATGTATATATATTGATTGTCAGATTCTTTTTCAAGAAACAAATCAATTGCTAACTTTTTTATTATATATCAATTTTGAACTTAATTATCTTAACAAAAGCAATATTAACCTATACTGTATCCATTATTATCTCAAATTTATGATCTATATTAATATGTATCATTAATCAAATAATTCATAATTATTTGATCATTTATTTTTTTTATTTTTTTAAAATTACGGTTGAAATTTGAATTCGAAACTCTTAATTTTAGACCTATTCAAATACCATTAAAATAATAACTTATCTGTAAACATCTCGGTACTCTTTAATTATGAAATTATGAAACTAATATTTAAAGATTTCCATGAAGTTTATAGCATATTGGAATCAAGCACCAAATGAAGATATAATTAATTAATTAAGTAGAATGTCGAATATTATGATTTTTTTTTAATGTAATGTCAAGTAATATGATTTATGTAACAACAAATAGTGATAAACAACACTTTTGTACCTAAGAATTTGGTGGCAGCACATGCTTATTGGTTCTTCAAAAAGTAACCTAATAATAGCCTAAATTAAATAACATTTTTAGTTTTTTTTCCTTAATGTTGTGTTGCAAATTTTTTTTTTTTAATTTTTAATCTACCCTTAATACTTTAATCCTTATCTTTTTAATTTATCAAAAGAAAACATTAGCGACTAAATTCTTTTAAACTCGCAACCTTCAAGAGTTATTATTAAATCATAATCTTGGTTCTTGAATATCAATATTTATAATTATAATTAATTTTAATATATGCATATCTCAAAACTTATAAAATATGGTATATATCAAAAGAATTATAGAAGCTAGGATCCATAGTTTTTGAGGTTGGCATTTTCTCGTGACATCCTAGGCTTTTGCTATCTAAATTATTAAAACGTGAAGGAACATGTGATTTTATAGTCCAATTTGTTTTCTCCAATCTTAGCATACAATAATGTGATGTGAATTGCATATGATAGCCATTAATGCATGCTTCAATAATCAATTTCTTTGACAATATTGCTAAGTTTCAAAACTAACAAAATTAGCAAAATTCTAGTCAAATCTTAAAATATTGTATATATCTTCTTTGGCAAGATTGTTAAAAATTAAATTTCGGTTATTGAAATTAAAAATAAAATATTTTACCAACGAATCACGTGTTTATAATTGATCAAATATTATATGACTATTTTTGTAGAACAAGTGAATTTAATTTGGGTAAGCAAATTGCAAAGTGTTAGTGAAGCAAGATATTATAATATTTAAATGCACCTTAGCTTTTATTTTCAACTTAATCCCATTAAATAAAGTAATATTTTTGCAACAGAATATTTGGTTTAATGATAAATACATATATGTTATACATAAAAATTAAATTTAAATTCTCAACTTCCTTTAAAAAATAATAATATGCCGTTTTATGTGTTTAAATTACTTAATTAAGTTGATTAATGCATGATCCAATTGAATTAATCTCTTCCCCAAATTAAAAAAAAAAAAATCTCATGCAAGCAAGACCCATGGTCCCCATATGAAGTGTTTATGGTTCTAAATTGGTCTATTGCTCTACTCATAGGGCAACAGAAGAGGGGCAACTGTGGCTGTAAAAGGCACAATAGTACTGCAAAGAAAATGAGAGCAAACTATTGAAATTAAGGCTAATTTTGCATAATCCAGTGAATCAATTGAGTGAAATATATCTTCTTTTTTTTTTTTTCACTTTGTTGAAAAAAGTATATATATTTGATCATAACATTGTCCATTCCTTTATCAGAATGTTTGCTTGTCATGATTATCCACTTCTTTTTCTTGGTTGCTATTTCCATGATAATGGAACTAAATTGTTTGGGGGGCCCAAAATTTATGGGAAGGAACTTTATTGCTCTATGAGTAGTGCAAGCATGCGGTAGGACAACTGAAATTAAAAGGTTTTATACGCATCTTATTTATATGGGATATCAACATTAAAAAGGATATAAATGTTATGAGACTATTATTTTTATTAATAACCTTTGTAGCATATACATTTGCATTTAAGCAAACAAAAAAAGGGAAAGAAAATAATGTACTAAACAATCCCTTTTTATCAAATGGAAATGCTTCATGTTCAATTTCTTTTTTATATGAAAGAAGTCGTAATATGATAATAATAGAAAAATTACAAGTTGATGATGGTGTTTTGGGTATAAGTGAGTTAGACAATGATTTGAAGGTTATGCTGGGAATTGTCTGTACCTACTATAAGAAAGTACGATCAAAGAGAATTGGAGTTAATTCTTTAGGAAGTGCTCCGACGTTTAAGACAGTCAAGTGTTTAGAGCTTCTTAAAGAAACAAAGTTGCAAAGAATGTGAAAAAAAAAAAAAAAACTTTAAAGCCCTATTTGCTGTTTCCAACAACTTGGGTTGTCTTTTCTGTTTCTCTCATGGGGACAACAATTATAGGGAAAGGCACAAAATGATGGAGTTTGCAGCACATTCTAAAGCATGCCCACTTCGATTGTGGGTATATTTGGACGGAAATGGAGAAAAAAGCAACCATTACAAGAGAACTTCATGTGGCCCATTATTGTGATCCAAATTCTAATGTAGTTGATTTGTTTAAAACTAATTACACAATCAGATAATTTAATTACTATTGAAAAATTATGTGAAAAAAAAAAAGTAAAATTTGAAGCTTATTGTCTTGGGCCGGATTGGGCCAAAGTCCAGCCCATGAATATGTTTATTTTTATGATATATAAAAAAAAAAAACTCTGCTATTTATTTGTTCGGGATTTATTTTTATTAATTGTCCTTTTTCATAGTTCAGTTAATTTCTTAAAAGAATGTCATCGGAAAATCGTTTAGCGACGACATCACCGTCGCTGAAATCAATAGAATCGGCGATCAAACTCATAGACGTCAAAAAGGACGAACTCAAGAAAGCGTTCGATGATCTCCAAGCCAACTCTTTGCACCTCTCTTCTTTCTCTTTTCCCTGGTCCGACCTCGACTCTCACTTTACCGCTATCCAGAACTCGGTGACTCAACGATTCCGACTCCTCGAGTCTCGCGAGTCCGGTCACCACCCAGTTGATGCCGTCCCCGCTTCGGGGCTCGCTCGGTGCTCGACGCAATCGTTATTGTCAAAACAGGGAGACCCATCTGCACCGAAACCGTTATCGAGAAACGACCGAGTTGACGCAGCCACTGAGCCGGTGGCGGCGAATCGGCCATTAAATCAGATCGTACCGTTAAATGGTGACCAACCCTCGTCGTCAAATTCAATGGGACTGCAGTCTGATGGTTCAGCTCCAGCGTCAGGCCGTATTGACTCGGTGGTGACTCGGCCAGAGCTGAAGGAGTTATGTGAGGGAATGGATGGGAAGGGGTTGAGGAAGTACATAAATGACCGTGTAAAGGAACGGGAAGCTATCCGAATGGAGCTTCCAGGTGCTCTAAAGAGTGCTCCGGATCCTGGGGCGATGGTTTTAGATGCAATGGAGGGGTTTTATGCGGAGAATTCACAGTCTAAAGGCGATAAAGACCCAGAATTGTTCGGGTTGAGGAGGGTTTGCGTGTTTTTGTTGGAGCAGTTGATGGAAACTGGTGTAAGTTTTAGTGAAGAAGTGAGGGAGAGAGCAAAGAAGTTAGCTTTAGAGTGGAAAGGCAAGGTCAGGTTGAGCAAAGATAACTCTTTGGAGACATTGGCGTTGTTGCATTTAATGGCAACTTATAATTTGGGAGATGTGGTTGATAAAGAGGAGCTTGTTGGTTACTTTTTTATGGCTGCTAGGTTCCGGCAAGCTACAATGTTGTGTAGGTCAATTGGTTTAGGGGAGAAAGTTCATGGTAAGGTTATTGGTTTCTTGATTCAACGCGGTTCTTATCATGTGGATTTTGATTTATTTTATTTTGGAATGGTGTTATGCTTGTTTTCCTATGTTTTATGCGCATTTAAATGTCTTTCATTCATGGATGATGAGTTTTATCATGAATGCTTGATTTTGATTATTAGGTGTGATAGAGTTTTGAGAATTGAAGCTTTCATGTATGGATTGATATGTCAAAGGTCTTGGTTCAAGTTGGTTGAATGTGATTCTTGTCGTGCATTTTGGTTTATTTGATTTTATGGTTGGTGTTTATGCTTTTTTTTTCAACTGTTCATGTGCATTTAAAGTTCTTTTATTCCATGCAATAAGAAAAAGTTCTTTTATGAGATAGTTTGCTGCATATCCGAGAATGGTAAGATGAGTTTCAGTCATCAAATTTCTGCATTGTATTGGAAATATACACCTACTGTAACTTGACTTAATTGAATGCCTGCAATCCTTGGGGGGTTTTATGATCTTTTGTAATGCATATGTTGAATGCCTTGAATTTTGATGTAATTGCTTACCTAGGAAATGAAGATACTTTTTTGCTATATTAAAAAGAAATTTATATCTTGTTTTGAACAAAAAAGTTTAGATGGGAGACTCACCTTGATTAAAAGTTTTATGGCTAGAATAGCTTACTCGATTGTCACTGGCAAGACGCAAGTGAAACATAAGCACGGTGACCTCCCAAAAGACAAAAAATGTTTCATGGATCAAAAAATAAATAAGAAAAGCATGGGGAGATCTTTTTGTTGCATCAAATCATTGTGCGCACATGTAATGGTGTAGCATATTGTTTTCTCTTTTAAAAAATCAGCTCAAGTTGTAATTCAGGGTGATTTCATGTATTTCGGGCATAGAATTTACATAATTTTCTGCCCCTTTTGAGATTTAGATTTCCCTCCCTCATGCCAGTATTGATCTTGTAACTTAAGAAGTAGCTTCTGATAACAGCCTTGCCTTATGTGTTGCAGATTTGATTCGAAAACTGTTAGATAGTGGCAAACAACTACTTGCTGTGAGATTTATATTTGAGTTTGGGCTAGCAGAAAAATTCCCACCGGTGCCACTTTTGGATGACTATCTGAAGGAGACAAAGAAGCTTGCTAACCAAGTTTGCAAGGATGGAAAGAACTCTCTTAAGTCACAGGTAAAGTTTCATTTCCTGCAAACTTTTCAGATGATACTCTAGCATTCAATATTTATATATATTTTAATCACATTATCCCATGCAGAATGAGGCCACAGCCAAAGAAATTGCTGCCTTGAAAGCTGTAATTAAAATAATTGAAGAGAACAAACTAGCAACTGAGTATTCACAAGAGTGCCTTCAGAAGCGTATTGAGCAGCTTGAGAAGCAGCAGGCAGACAGGAGACCTCCTGCAACACCGCCTGCTCCCAAGCCTCTGCAGCAGCAGGCTATTCAGCGGGCCAATCAGGTGGCAAGTCAGCAGGCAAAGAAGAAGAAGAAGAAGCAGGCACTGGGAAAGCTGCAGCAGAGTGGCAACAAGCGTCCTAAAATAACTGCATCTGTTGTTCCTATAGCAGCCTCATTGGGTGTTAGCGGTTCAAGTTCAGCGGTTCCCCCATTCCAGCAATCTCATCTTCGGCCAGCAAGTTTATTGCCAGATCATTCTGCTGCATATTTGAGGTCGCCAGTCGGTCCTTATGGTTTGGCAGGCTCCACTTCTGCTGTTAATCCTTATGTAGGCTCATCAGCTGCATTATATGGTTTGGCAGGAGCCCCCATGGGTTTCTCTGTGAATCCAAACCCTGCTGCATCCCATTTATATTCTTATGACAGGCTGCCTACTTACGGTCCATATGGTTTACCACCACAGTACCAACCATCTTACCGTCCACTGTAGCTGTTATTGCCCGTCGAATGCTTTTGGACGCTAGCACATTGGCCTGGCATTGATGCACTGGTTGTTGTAAAGCACTCCTGTTTTTTTGATAAGTGGGTAGCATTGCATAAACTAGATTTGGTGACTGACTTTCTGATGGTTGAGGCTACATAGTGTTTTATTTATTGATAATTTTGCAAATTGATCAGAAGATTTATGTACATGATGATTTTCTTTTATGAGATGACATTAATTTTCAATGTAGAAGTCACAAACACAACAACCTAGCCATTTTCTGTTCATTATAGTACTCTGTCTTGTTTTTATGAATAAAACCAGACCGACAACATTGCTTAGAAATCATTTTTTGTTGTACTAATTCAATATATTCCTTCTTTTTCCACAGTTGAGGCCACTAGCTGCTCTGGACAATGGGGTTAGCCCATCCAACCTCGTTTTCTCTTTATCACTGAGTTTGCCTGTCGGAGTTTTATTTTTTTTACCTCTTTTTTGCTACAGTTTTTGCTTCCAGGATGATTTGTAGAATTTATTGCTTAAGAACTAGGATTTAATGAGATGCCTTTATACATGTAATGTCTGATAACTGTTATTTTCTCATCATGGTGTTAAAGTCAGTAGGTTTTTATGGTTCTAGGTGGTTAATGTCGGAGTGAATAAGGGAAAGGTTTGGTTGTTAAAGTGATTGTGATATTGTGATATGTCTCTTTCCTTGGTATCATTATGATCTTATCGGTTGCCTGACGGCAAGTTCTGAGACGCAGACACAGTTACAAGATTGCTCATTTATGAAACTTTGCTTTGCAGAAAGCAGTTCAAGGGAGGGACACTACCTAAACTGGTAGCTTTCCTGTCTCTCATTGATTAATGCTAACACTTGGTAATAAAAGCCGACATTAGTTCTGATATGATTGCTTGAATCAAATAAATCAAAATAAGGTTTAACTTAAAAATTTTTTTTTACCCAAAGCGTTAACTTAGAACACATTTGTTAGCCTAGTAAAAATGGTTCACTGTTCTAAAGTGCTGTTTCATTACATTTCATGTTAACCCATTTTTAGCTTTGGTAAGACATTGCTTGTGAAAGTACCCAAAGCTTAAATTTCAAAAGCTTTTAGTGACAAATTGACATGAAGCTGAGCCCTAACTATACCTTTATTTGTATGTACACCAATTTTTACTCAAATCCATTTGTCTCATTCTATAATTCTTCAAGCAACAATCATGAAAGTTTATAACCATTTGCAGAAATAAAGTTTGTAAGTACTTACAATGTTCATTTAAAACCATTTTGGGACAGTTTGAGCAAATTCTTGCTTTGGTCCCATAATCATGATTATGTGTCCTTTATAATGTTTATAGCAATGTTGTTTTATTGCATACAAACAAGAACATAAATTGACATAGATTTTCATTTTTCAACTTTGGGGCTATAATTAAAAAGTCATCTTTTGCTAATGACTGATCTAAGAGCATAATACAAGTAATTATAACTCATCTGTCAAAAAGCTAAAGCAGGTTTTGAAGCTTAAATTTCTCTCCCTCAATTATTAAAGGGAGCTGTCATATCTCTAGTTTTAGAAGGTTTTTGTATTGAATTATAGAGGCTAAGAAAAAAGTAAATAAATAAATAAAACCTAATGGAAAGATTAGTTCTTTGTTAGGATTTCGGTGGTTAATCAAGTTAACCAGTTAACTATTTAATTTTTTGATAAAATATTAAAGTTCTAATTTTAATAAATAATAATCATAATTTATTCTTTGACAACTTTGATTGAATTGATTTTTAGTTTTTTACTTAAAAATCATAAATAAAGCAAAATTTCCCCCTATCTTTTCCTTTTTCCGTACCAACTATAGTACAAATTTATGTGAATCCAATCCAAATTCATTAGTACATAAGCTCAGCTTACATATAGACAGATACCTCAAAACCAAAACATAGACAAAGATTTGTTTTTTTTTTTGTTTTGGTTTAAAAGAAAATAATAGAGAAAGAAAAAGTGTGATATTGCCTTGACAAAATGGGTCACCTTTTGAAGTTTTTAACCACCCTCCAAAAATAAAAACCACAGAAAAATCATTATTAAGAACTTAAAATTAAAATTAAAATTAAAATTGAAAAAAAAAAGTGACAAGGCAAGGCAATGACACAAACCCCAGACCCAGATCCAATGTAACAAGTTAAACTCTGTCCCTCTCTTCTGACAACCTTCTCCAACACACCAAACCGATCTCACTCCCAACAATTTTAAAGTTTTAATTTTTCTTTTGAAATATTAAAGTTTTTATTTTTATTTTAATTTAAGGCAAACCAAAGAAAATTTAAAAAAAAAGAAAAAAATTCACTTGAATTTGCTTATATACCCCTCCCTCCTTTTTCTTTTACAGACATAAATATCAACTCCTTTTTGACTCTCTTCTCTTCACTGTCTTTTCTTTTTTTTTTCTTTGGCTAATGATAATGGAGGAACAAATATTAGCTTCTTCTTCATCAGCTGCAGCTGCTACAACTCAGCCCGATCTATTGGGTTCGGCTGGTTCTGGTGGAGCTCGGTACAAGCTGGTGGCTCCAGCTAAGCTACCGATCTCAAGGTCGGCTTGTATTACGATCCCACCTGGGCTTAGTCCTTCTTCTTTCTTGGAGTCACCTGTTCTTCTTTCAGATTTTAAGGTTAGAGCTGTTTTTTTATGTTTTTTGGGGTTGGATCGGTTCTGGGTTATGTTTGTTTCCTGAGAAAATGGAGGAAAGTTGGCTACTTTCTGAGAATTCACTGGTAAAATTTAGTTCTTTTTTCTTTTTAAGAAAAACCCAATTTTTTTAATTGACTAAAGAATTCAGCAATGTGAGATTCAAAGTTTTGATTGTTATTTCCTAAAGTAGCTTTTAGTGGGGAATTTTTCTTTTTTCTTTTTCCTTTTTTTTTTCTGGGTTTGGTTGGCTAGGTTTTTGAATGATGTGATTTGGATTTAATTTTCAGGGAAAGAGATGCTCAAGGGATAAAAGTAATGGGTTTCTATATTTGTTTGCTTTGATTTTGAGGTTCTTTAAAATGCTTGATTTTATATTTGAACCGGTTCATGGTGTTGGGGACTTTAAAGAGAAAAAAGATTCTGATGCTTTATTATTGCAATTATTAGATAAATTATGAAATATGGTTCCTTAGCCTCCATGGATTTGTATATTGTGGAAGGAGGAATAAGGCTTTTCTATTTTTTTTAATGTTTTGAAGTATAAAATTTTGATGGAACCTTTTTTTTATAGTTTTGATTTATTTTTTAATGTCAATGTTGTTTTTTCACATAATGAATCACCCCCTTTTGATTGTGGGAATTGTAGCTTTTCATAGTTTTGGTGTTTGTCCTTGTTTTAACGGTGTGCTGTAGAATATGGAATAATATGGAACAGATGCCCATGGTGAGATGGAGTGGATGGATGGACTGATGCTTCTTTAAAGGCATTTGTTTGATTTAGATCAAAGAATGGATGTTTGTTTAAGTGTGTTGTGCTAGGAGGCAATGAAATGAATGGGTGGAAAATAGAAAGTAGGTGGGTCAAGGTGAAGAGAAGAGACATGATTGCCTGTGATTTAATGGAGGATATGACATCACATAGAGTTGAATTTGCAAAAGGGAATTAGTAGTGAAGCCAAAGGAGTTGAGTAGTAGGTTTTACAGACTTGTTTTCCACATCAAGTGTAGGGTTAACCAGAATTACATGAATATTTATTGAATGAATTTTGCTTTTATTCACCTTTAGTTGGTTTGTTCTGTAATCTTGTCTTTCCTTCCTTTATTGTATGTTATTTTTGGCACTAAATAAATTTGATAGAATTAGTTTGTTTAAGCTTAGATCGCTAGCCGAGTTTGAACATTATGTACTTATTCATGTTGATGAGAATAATATCTGGAAGTTTACCAGTTGTTACTTGTTGGTGAACGGAACCACAACGGTTTTATAGAACTATATGGAGTAATTTGTTGTTCTGTCTTCTTGTTCTTCCAGGCAGAGCCTTCACCAACTACTGGTTCTCTCATTAAGCCTCAAGCAGTTCATGCCTCTGTTGCTTCTAGTACATATTCGGCATCTGCTGTTTGTTCTAATGCTTTTGATGAAAGAAATCCCTGCTGCTTTGAGTTTAGACCACATCCTGGATCAAATATGGTAATTTCCTGACAAATGTTAATGAATATTTTGAGATTGAAATTTAAATAATATTTTCCTCTTTTGTGTCTTTTGCCCCTGTAGCTAGTCTTATTAATGTACAATCATTTTATATTTCACCATAGCCATAGCTATATGATTAGGTGGTCATCTATAATCCTGATTTCATTTGAATTCTCTTCTGCATCATTTTCTACCCTGCCATAGATTCTGCAATAGGTAACTGATGTTTTAGATAACCAGCAGAGGCATCATGTCAGAAGGCATCATTGGCGCACGTAAACTTAGCAGCGTGCTATCTCTTCTCTCTCCTCAAAATTTTTCAATACTGACATCCTTATCTAAGTTCATTGTGTTATGTTGGTTGAATTATATAGTTGTCTAACGTTTTTTGCTTATTCAAGGCACCTGCAGATTTAAACCATCAGAGAAGTGAACAATCTCTGCAAATCCAAGGTCAATACCAGACTCTATCATTCAATTCATCGGCTTCGGTTAAGAGTGAGATGATAGGCTCCTCAAATGAGTTGAGTCTCTCAGTACCTGCCCATACAGCTACTTCTATGGCTAGTGCTCCGGCTGAAATTGATGTAGACGAATTAAACCAGATAGGGAACCCAAATAGTGGGATGCAGTCAGGGCAGTCTGATCCTAGAGGAGGTGGCCCAGCAGTGCCATCTGATGATGGATACAACTGGAGAAAGTATGGACAGAAACATGTTAAAGGAAGTGAATTTCCACGCAGTTATTACAAATGTACACATCCTAATTGTGAAGTAAAAAAGCTATTTGAGCGATCTCATGATGGACAGATCACAGAGATAATATACAAAGGTACACATGATCATCCTAAACCTCAACCTAGCCGCCGATATTCTTCTGGTAATATCATGTCTGGCCAAGAAGAAAGATCTGACAAGGTCTCATCTTTGACTGGTAGAGATGGTAAGGGAAAAAGCTACACATTCAGTTTTAGGTGTTAGAGTACTTTTTTGCTTGTGAATTAATCTTTTCTTTTTCTGTATTTTAGACAAGCCATCCAGCATGTTTGGCCATATGGTTCATAATATTGAGCCGAATAGTACTGCAGATCTATCTCCTGTCACAGCTAATGATGATAATGTAGATGAGGTTGACGATGATGATCCATTCTCAAAGCGAAGGTATTGTTATTGTTCGATAGAGGCTTTAACTTTTTCCTCAGTGGATT